ATCATTCCAATAGCTTTGGCTTGATAGCAGTTTATGCTTCTAAAGTAAGTATAATAAAGTATTTGAATTACTATGCAGAAAATCAAAAAGCTTACATATTACAAGCAATTATAATGTATACTGTGTGTGCTAGCCACAAAAATCAGATGCTAATCTAATGTAAAGTCAATCGTTTATCATCTGAAGTAGTGGTTCTCTTTCAGAGCATGACTCAAAAAACGATCCCTGCCTCTGTCTGAAATTATTATTCTCTGAAGTGCATTGAGCTCTTGTGCCACTTCGATGATTAAGCCATTGCATCTTAGTTGTAAGGTAACACTTCTTTCTTTTAATGAATCGTGTAAATGGTGAAATATGGCTTAAAATAACTGCAGTCAGCATCAATATTATTGCTGAATTGGCTATGGCTAATGCTGTTGTAGGGTTGTATCCATTAATGTTAAAGTAGTACCAAGTTACAGCAACTATGCTTAAGACAATGATGCAAATAAAGTTTAACACGTTATTGTAAGTCTTCTTAAAAGGATGAATGAAAGTTATGATTTGAAAATACACACTACCAATTGGGATCAACCGTGAAGCAGTGAAATGTCTGATGTACATTATGTATATCATACTGACAAACAGAACATTGATTGAAAAAGAAAATTCTGAATTGCTCTTAAAAGGAGCATGCATAGCTTCATAAATGGGACGAATATACTCTCTGACGCTATCTATTTTGAGCAATAGCTTACCAGCTATAAGTATTATTATATACACCAGTAGAATAGGCACGACTATTAATGATGTAATGATCATTAATATTAAATGATTTCCCCTACCATATTCAACTGTAGCATCATTATACCAAACTATGAGTGGCACTTCAGTTGTGTTGGTAAATATTTCAACTGAATTAAACACATCTAAAACAGACGTCAAAAGTCTTGTGAACGAAAGATGTACAACTGTAACCAATACCTGCACTGATGAATGGGATATTCTGTTAGAGAGTTTGACAGAGTATCGACTTGCAACAATGAGACCTACCACAATTAGAAGTAAATAGATAGGAAACACTAAGCCAAGACCAGATCTCACTAATTCTGTCATTCCATTGTATAAACAAAGCGGAATACCAGTGTCAAAGTTCAAATTAATGAGTGAAATGATGCCGTTTGTGAGTCTATAGTAATACATTGATAGCAACATTTCTTGGTAATAATTACTGTCATTGTTAAATAAGACTATTATTTGAGCATAGAATATAATGCCATAGAGTGTACCAGTAGTTAATGTCAGTTGGAGAGCATATAAAATGTAAATGAATAAAGGGCCAATTGCTGCATAGATGATTAAAGTTAAAAGCCACCAATTACTGCATCTCTTGCATTGATTTGAGCTAAATGTGACACTATAGCCAGGAAAACATTGAGTGCATAAAGGTCCTTCTCTGTATTCAAGGCAAAGTGGTGCACTGTTACCCAAATTTTGTATATCAGCTATTTCTATGCTTGCATTTTCCTTGATCACAAATACATTAAAATTTCTTATTGCATTGCAGTATAAAGAACATGTTGAAGCCACACCAAAAACATTAGTTTCAAGAGATGTATTCAAAAGCCCAATCCAGCCTGTCAAAGTTGATGGTCTTGAGATAGTAATATTTGGGAACATTTTCTGGTTTTTGTTTAATTCGTATGATATTGCACACTTTGCTGGATATTGAAGTTTTAAAATAGCTTTTGAGCATTTGCATTGCTGCTCTTGATTAAATTCAAAGCCAACAGGACAAGTCTTTAAATTTATTGGCAATGAAAAATTTATGTCACTTTTAGTTGTTGCTTGAACCAGCAAAATAGATTCTTGATGAGGGATTTGATTAAGCGTTTCATTTCTTAATTGAATTGTCAACTGGACAACTGTAAAGGTACCTTCATTCAATATCTGCCGGCTGTCAGATAAAGACCAAGAAAATATTGGAAAGAAACGATTAGTCTTTTGGGAAAGATGTGATTTTAGCACTTTAAATAATCCTAAAGACACTTCAGAAAAAACTGTATGATTAAGTCCATCAAGAGCTGCCATTGGTATTGCAAATGTCTGACCTGGATACACTGATATTGTATCACTAAATGTTATACATTCATTGTCTATAAATATGCATACTTTATCTGTATATGTGGAAAGGCCAGTGTCTAAAGTGCCATTTGATATTTGATGAAATAATACTTTTGCTTTGAAAGCACTGTAATATTCATCTTTTATGTAGCAGTTGTACAAGTTAGTACTGTAGACCGAACTCCCTGATTCTGTTGCAGTGTTATCAATAAAGTTAATACTGATGTTATTGTGAGTTGAATTAAGAAGAAATGTGCACATGCATTTCTTGGTGCAATTATCAAATGCTGCATAAATTGCTCCTCCTTGAAGTAAAGCATTATTTTTTATAAAAGAAGCTCTTAAGCCATTAACAAGATAAAACCTACTGGTTCCATATAAGAAGAAAACTGAACCCCTACCACCATTGTTATTATTGAAGTTAAAATAACCATCTAAAACAACATCAGTGTCAGCCAGATAAAACACAGAACCATAATTCCTGATGTAATGATTTTTTGATCCTGACAAAACAAGATTACTAATGTTGGATATCATAAACGTAGAAGACTCCATGATGGGAAGTAGCAAAAAGTTACCATTGTTTTTTGCCAAAAAATTTTCTAAAATAATGTTACAGCTTGCTCTCCAATTTGAATTTGCTTGCAAACAATAACCTTTGCCTAATGTGTTAATGTGATTACATTTCACATTAGACAATACAACATTAATTTTATTATCTGGAGGATTATATGCAGCAAAATAAATGGCTCCACTTTTTATGGTATCATAAAAGATAATATTCTCACCTGTGAAGCTACTATTATATACATACAATGGTTGTAGTATTTTGGTTTGCTTCACATAAAAATGTTCCTTTACATTGAACTTGTATAATACTGCAAGATGCAAAGCACAATAATAGCTTTTGTTACCGGTGTTTGATTCAAACATAGTATTTGTAATACTGACCTGAGAATTAGTGAAACTGTTAGAGTGTAGCACCAATGCACCTCCTGATATTGATCCATAGTTTCTTTTGATTGTTGAATTGCTGATATATACATTGACGGTAAAATTTTGAGTGAAGAAAACTGTTAGGCAAGCAGCATTGATGACTGGAATACGCTTCTCAAATAATTTTGGATCATTGAGATCAGTAATATCGTAATTATCATCAAAATTGGTAAAAAGCTTCATCCTGTCCAAGAAAATATTAGGAAAGACTATTTTCCATTTGTCATAAAACAGAAGAAAGATACCACTACCAGGGCTTTTTCTATGTCTTGAAATAAATTGAGCACTTTTAGATGCAGTAATTGCTATGCAATGTCCTGTCACATTAACTGGGTTGACAAATAGAAGTGCAAAGCCATAATAGGAAGCAATTTTAATGTCCATAATGTGCAGTGTATCAATGTTTAGAAATAATAGTACAGCAGAGTGGTACTCACTGAAATAAAACGAAGATTCTGTTGAGTTTATAGTCTTCATTAGACCTACTAATCCTTTCAGATACCCCCCACAGCCTCTCAATACTAATTTGTGTAGAGTTAAGTTACGTATGTTAGAGAAAGCAAACCCAGTAGTTGGTAAAACACTTGATGTATTGGTGGAGTTACAGCTGACAATAGCTGGTTGTGTTGAATTGCTGGTTAAAGTCAATGAGTAATTAGAGCTACTATTGATCAGGCAAAATGATGATGCAGTGCTAATAAAATGAGTGAAGTTTGCTGACAGAATTACAATGGTGTCTTCTTTTAATGGTTTATCCGCACACAAAAAACTCTCCAGCACACCATCTTCTGTTATATGTTCATAAGTATGACTTTTAACTGCAAGGCCAGATGAAAATACAATTATTGAAAGAAACAGAAAAAGAGGCATACTTTATACACTGAGAGTAGTTTCAAAAAACTGTGTTTTCTGGAAAGTATTTATGAACGGTCAGAAATTGAAAGAATATCATAAGCAGAGGATAGCAGAGGGTGCGTGGGACCTGTCAGACTTGTGGGTTGCACCATCAATACAAACAAAACTTGTAAATGATTTTTGACACTAAAATAACACTTTCAATTTAAGTTAAATCAACACAGTTAAATCTAGCTGGAGACGAAGCAATGTCACACAGAACCAAAAACTTACACACACATGTAATGGGCCAGGTTAAGTTCAAAAAAAATTCTTCTCAAAAATTACACACACAGGTCTTACAAAAAATCAGAGCTTAAATATACATGTACACAAAGGACAAAAAGCATTAATACCAACAAGTGACAAAAGGAAGGCTGCCTCATGTAACCATACGGCTATAAGACTACCATACAGCTATAAGACTGCCATACGGCTATATATATCATACAAAACAGCCTAATAAAAGATTACATAAATTATAAAATTACTGCCAACATAGAAATTAACACTTATCAACTGTAAATATTTAACTAATTCTATTGAGCTACTAACTAACACCAAGAGTCTATAATGGACTCTTGCTAACACTAACACACACACACAGCTATACATAATATTAAATTAATGAAGTCTTTTAATTACCATCCAACACGTACATGAAACCAAGTTCAATGAATCCTCCACAACACATAGACCACTTACCCAACTAATCAATACATTATACACACACATCATGCAAATATGGAGATCATTGTACATGTACAGCTGTAAATGTACATAACATACCTACATTGATGTACTGTGCATTAATGTGTACATACTGTATACATAATGAATGTACACACAAAAAAAGGCGAGATGAGAATTCTCTGTTTATATTTTTTCTGATGCATATTCATGTACTTCTGTTGTGTAGAAAGTTTGAGCTGATTTCAATCGAATTTGGTTTTGTATGAACTTTTGAAATTACTAAAAAAATGCAGCATACCAGTAGTTTTGCATAGTCCAAATGTCAAAAGGGGAGATTTAAAATTTTTGTCAGAATAATAAAGAAAAGGAGGGTATACCAAATCTACACACAAACACGCACATTTCATACAAATAGATTTACATGTTTATACAAGTTAGAAAACAGTTGTAGTTGGTATTTCATATTCAGCAGGTGGTGGAAGAGGGGTCTCGTATCCATCAGCAGTTGTATCATACACTGGCTCAACGGTTGATCTATTAATAATAACTTTAAATAATAACAATAACTTTATTTTATATAACTGACTGAGTTTGTTGCACTGTACTGTAGGCTGGGCTATCTTTCATTAGTATATTATCAGCAGTACTGTGTGTGTACATGTATATAGACATAACATAATAGTCATAGTATAACTAACTTTTTTAATTCTACTGTAGCATAAGCTGGGCTACACTCGATTACTACGTCATTCACTAATTTTCTATGTACCAAATTAATTAACAATAATGTGTGCATGTATGTACCTCTTTTGATTACTATTGATTCTTTTCATATACATAAGCAGTATTAATATAATAATTATAGATACAGCTAATAGTAATATTAATACTATCACACCAACTATCAATCCAATGTTTCCTCCGTTATCCACTATTATAGTTGGCACAGGACTACTCTCAGTAGAGTAAGGAACTATAAACAGAAGCTCTATAAAAGTCTACATGCATTTTTGTGATAGTTATTAGCACATAAGTCTATTGCTTTAACACTAACAAACTGTCTTACCTGTTGATGATGATGCTGCAGTACCTACATGCATTATATAAAAGTACAGATGATGTTAAAGCATTACCTGGTGGTATTGGTTGAGTCCTCTCCCCTTCATAAATGAATCCATTAATACTAAATGATGTAGATATAGAGAACAAGTAGTTCAGATTAGGATCTAATCCTCCTATTAAACCTTTAGTAGTATCACCTGGGAATAGCTTCATTCCTGTGTCTACTTGTCTCTTTTTTCTACTGGTTGACTCATAATAGACTGTATAATGACTAGCTCCAGGAACTGAACCCCACTCAGCCCTCACTGCTGTAGAATTGAGCTTTGTTACAGAGAAAGTTTGAACATTAACTAAAATAGAAAATATGAAACTGATTCAAAGTATCATAACTAACAATAACAGTAATATAGTAAGAATCCCTGGACAAAACCCACTAAAAACAAACTGAACTGAATCACCCATTAACAGTTGTTAATGAGAGGAAAACTGGGTGTAATTGTTAGATAAGTGTTTTGCCAACAGTTTTAATACTTAATGATTATGAAGTGAAACCCTCTTTATGGTCAGGAGGAGGATCCAAAAAGATTTAGTTTTCATTAGTGTTCATTAATTTTGTATCCATTGTATATTAATGTTGCAATTAAAAATGCACTAGATCTCAATAACAATAATTGTAATTGAGGCTTAATTAAACAGAAAGTAATTGGAATTTTTGTCATAATTGCATTTTCATAGTGTATTGACTACTGACTCCATGAGGTAGTAGGCACAAACCCACATTTTACACACAGATGTACATGTATAGTAAAAGTACCGGTACATACTCAGTAGCTTACCACCTCCAGGAGTTCTTACTACACCAACAGCACTAGGTCCATTACCCTTAGAAGTATTAGCAAACACGTAGCAGCTATAGACAAACCCTGGCCTAAGACCACTTATATTATACTTGTAACGTGATTGTGTCATCTCTAATATATGATCAACAGGTACCAGTTGCACATGTGGTGTGCTTAGATTACAACTGACTGTGTAGTTAGTAATGATGCCATTCTGCAGCAGTTTAGGTACTGGTAGCCATGAGATGGTCAGTGTGGTGATGTTTATTAGAGTGAGTGTTAATGATTGAGGGGAACCACCAGGAACTGATGAGAGAAGGAGAATAATGTAATTATTGTATATGCATGGAGCAAAACTAATAAATTATGATAAAACTTAATTAGATGTAAAAATAAATTTATAATGCTAATTTCACAAAAGATGTTATTGATATTTTATGGGACTTTAATTTTGCAGTTATTTACATTGTACATCACAAAACAATGACAGTTTAGCTCTAACAACAAAAATACTTTGTACACACTCTCCTTCGTTCTATTCTTTTCTCTTTCTCTTTTTCTTACCACTAGGGTCAGTCATTGGTGTATCAATGGCAGGTGGGCCAGGTCCTACTACAGTACTAGCAGTTAAGCTACAGTTATAAGCTGTGAATGGTCTCAATCCACTAACAGTGGCATTAGTTTGATCTGGAGCATAAGTAATAGGAAATAAAGATGGCACTACTCCCCTTTCTAGCTCCATGCATGACAGTGTATAGTGAATGATGGTCCCAAATTGAAGGAGAAGGTTTGGTGGTTGCCAGGAGAGCATGAAATCATTAGAAGTGATTTTATATATCTGGAAATTGAGAGGAGGTCCACCGGGAGCTGGAGAAAAAAGGTAAAATATTTATAATATAAACAGACTCAGTTAAAAACCAATCACTATATTATAAATTACATTGTACATGTACATAGTTTAGTTTAGTTCATGGCACAAGCACAAGCTTCTTAGGGACCTTCAGTGCATACATGTATGTAGTCATTATTATTTTTTTGTAAAGTTTAATTTTAGGGCACTGTATAGTTAAGAAAAAATAATGATTGACACCAGTATTTACATGTACAATGTACATGTAAATAATCAGTTAATTATTGCTAAAATATACATCATTTTGAGTGCAAAAAAATGGCTACATTAGGTGGTGTTCAATGCTTCTTTGATGCAAAAACAAAAAATAGCCTACTGATATTTCTAGGGCTGGCACTCTTGTACTCTTGATAATGTTGTACATGTAGATATCATCTTCAAGTTTATTTCTATTACCTTCTTGAACAGTATAAATGTAAGCACTGGCAGCATAAGGCCCAATACCAGCATTATTAGATGAGGTGAGACTACAATTAATAAGAGTACCAGGACGGAACCCAAACAAAACAAACTGAACTGAATCACTCTCGTTAACAATACGAGGAAAACTGGGTGAAGTTATTAAATAAACGACTCTGCCCACAGTTTCGTAACAAGTAAGATTATAATAAAATATGATTCCATTCCTGTGTTCAGGAGGAGGATCCCAGGAGAATGAGAGTGACCTCGAGACACTGTTAGTGTTTATTGTGAAGTTACCAGGAGGAGCTGTAGGAGCTACATGTATAGATAATTAAAAGAAATGTAACAATGACAAAAAATAACAACAAATGGAAACTTCAAGGGATTTAACTTTTGCAAGTTTTACAAGCTTTACTTTTGATTTTGCAAGTTCTGCAAAATTAGACTCACTAAAAACTACATGTAAATGTGTAATATACACACATGTAGGATTTACATTCAAAATCAGGGCAACAAACATGCATGTATCAAAATTTATGCAAATAACATTACGTCTTTCTCTTGTCCTGAAGCCATTAGCACCACTTTCAGTAGACCCCTCAGTATTAGCAGACCTAACACTGAAATAATATATTGTATCATAAATCAAATCAAATAGATCAACTGCTAATAAGGAATCAGTGACACTGAAATTAGTTGATCCATTTACGACAGAGCTAAGGTTATTCATATTAGTTAAATTAGTTCCATAAAGTACAACATATTCTTCAGGAGTGTATGCTATACTAGGAACTATCCACCTGATAGTAGCTGAATTACAACGAATGTTAACAGCAGTTGTGTTTACTGGAGAAAGAGGGGGTGATGGAGCTGGAGAGAGAGAGAGAGAGGGAGAAAGAAGGAAAATAAAGTACATGTGCATTGATATGGCATAAGAAATGTTACTGATGCACATGTACAGACAATTTGCCATTATCCCACAATGTATTGTCACAAAAACAAAAGCTTACAAAAAGAAGTAAAAAGAATCTCTTCAGCTCTTTTTACAAAGAGTTGAAGAAAGGGAGGAATATTATACATGTATAGTGTAATTAAGTAAAATTTATAATAAGTTCATGCAATGACCAGGCCTGGGGTCAATTACTTTCAATTGTAATCTATTACTATTACTATTACACCTTGACACTTCATATTACTATTACTATTGCTATTACAAGAAAAATGAGAAGTAATAGTATTACTATTACTATTACATATTTGCCTTTACTATCACTATTACTATTACCTCTTGTAGTTTTACAACATAATGAAAAATAACTTAAAACAATACGTTGATAGCATTTTATTAGTCTTTAAAACACACTGTCAGACAGTGAACAGTGATCTGGTCGAAATATTTTACCAGCTATATCAAATAGCAATTCAACTGGGGTTATTGGTATTACTTATTGTGAAAGATAATCTATAGTGTCATCCATGTTAATTTAACACTATTACTTAGGCCCTGTTACTATTACTATTACTATTACTTTTAAAATTGAAACTGCTATTACTACTACTATTACTATTACATGAAAAATTGTAATAATTACTATTACTATTACTATTACTATTACATATTACCCCAGGCCTGGCAATGACTCAATGGACAGCTTAATAGATGTCTATTTTCTGTATTACTTCCATACAAATCTATTCTCTCTATTCAGTCCATCAGTTCTATATGCTCTTTCCATTGAAATATGGTACAATGCATGCATACATCAGGATATACACACACTTACCAGTCACAATAACACTAATAGCATCAGTAGTACTAGCAGTAGGATCATTAGGTACACTCACTGATGCAGTACACGAATAATTATAGCTACCAGCTGTAGTATAAGTCTGCTGTAGGGAGCTCTCACTAACAGCACCAGTTGGATTAGTAGCTGGAGTAGCACTTGATACTGAAGGGCCAGACCATGTAAATTCTTTAGGGAATACTAGAAAGTCAAAGGTTATCAGTTGTAAGGTGGCAGTACACATTAGTGTAGCTGTGTTGTATGAAGGATGATTAGGAAGATGATATCTTGTGGAGTTTAATACTACTGCCAGTTTGGGAGCTATGTGTATATAAAAGAGTGGACAATAATAAACATGTTTACACAAGGAATAATCTCATGACATACACTGACACGCATTATGTTATACATCACACCCATTATTAACAATATTAAACATTATATTAGAAAAAACATACCATATGGAAGGAAATTTTGGAGGTAGTTAAATTTGGCGAATTTGGCATTTTGATAGCCATTCGCCAAAATAAAAATTCACCATTTTGAACCATTATACGCATGCTCAATGGCATGTGGCCAGAAATTCGCCAAATTAAAATTCGCCAATCACCAAAATTTAGCAATTCGCCAAAATTTAGTCCCTCCAAAATTTCCTTCTGTACGGTACATGTACATGTACATATATAAAAGTATATAATTATGTACATGCATTGCTACATGTACAGTAAAATTATGTAACAAAACAATGCATGTACATGTATTTGTTATGCACTATAATGTACATGCACATAGCACTTACAATTACTACTTCATGTACATGTAAGCACACATTATACCTAAATAATTATTCATCAAAACAACATGTACAATACTTACCAACAATATTATATTCATTGGTCCTGCTAATAGAAGCATTGACAATATAACTTGATAAATAATTAGACGACACATTGACCATGCAAGTGTATATACCAGAGTCCACAGAAGACACAAAATATTGAAATTGTAAAGTCTTTCGATACTGCCCTGCACTAGGATTACTTGATAATTGTTGTAGGTTTTTCCTCCCATTAGAAGAAAGTCCAGAAGGAATTATTGTGCCATTGAATAGTATATCAATGCTGACTGTGACTGTAGGATCATTGTGTATGTATAATGAATCAATTGAACACTGGAGATCACGTCTGAGGCCGGCATAATATGGTGGAGATAGATAGTTAAGAGCCAACACAACAGAATTAGGTTCAGGCACTGTAAGAGTGATAGGGGAAAGAGAAGAAGGGAGAAGCAAAGGAACATTAATTTACATGCATGCATGTGTTATACTCAAACCTCTCTCTCCCTTTCAAAAATCTATCTTCTTAATTGCATTCTTTTTATTGTATTGTACATACACTTACTTGACACAGTAATTAATGTTGTATTAGACAAAATGAGATTATACCCAGTATCAATTAATGGAGATGACACATTAGCCACACAGGTATAATTACCAGCCTTTTCAGAGAGGGCCATACCAAGATTAAGATTAGAAGTGCCCTCAGCTAGATTAGTTGTGACACCACTACCAGTGAACGGAGATAAGTCCTTGTACCAGATTATTGATGCAACAGTTGGACTCAGTGAGTCTGGTAGTAGTGCTGAGCACATTAATGTGTACTCCTCTCCTAACGTTAGGGACAGATCAGGACTGGGGTCTAATGAGAATGACAAGTTGGGAGCTGAGAGAGAGAGGGGAGGGAAGAATGGGAATGTTTGAGAAAAATGTATAAGAAGAAAAAATAGAGACAAAAAAGGGACGAAAAACAACATTAAAAATGTACAGGGGTAACTCAAAATAAACATGAATTAGCAATTGAACAGCAAATAAAACAAAAACAATCATCAACTCACACGTACCATCAATATCAACTCTAATAGTGGCTCTACCATCAACAGCACTTCCATTGATAGCATTACACGAGTACTGGCCAGAGTGTGATAGTCTGATGGGACTCAAAGTAAGTAACCTACTAACAGAATCAGAGTCCTCTTCAATACCACCAAGCATCACTCCTTTACTAATATCAGAGACTATAGTCACATTATTTTTCATCCATCGTATACCCAATGAGACATTATTAATCTTATTAACAGAGCAGTTTAGAGTGAAGGATTCACCAACTTCTTGCGATCCCAAGGTCGTCATGGCAACTCGTATGTTACCCGCTGTTAGTATAGTCACGGATCCAACTGTGGTATCTATGGTAACATTGCTATGATGCAATGATTTAACTTCACATCTATACGTGCCAAGACGATTCACGGAATTCTCAACAATGAGATCGTTCTTGTATGTACACTGCTCCCTGTCCAATACTCTTTGGTTCATTGTGAATCCACTGCCAGAGGATAGCTGGACATTGTTCTGTTTCCAGACTACTTGAGTTGCTGGCCATCCTGTGGTTATACAAGTAACTATGATTGAATCATTATTAGTGCTGTATTCAACTGACTGAACTTCAAGAGAAGCTACATGCAAGAGAGAGGAAGATGCATGGTTATACAAGGGAAATAATCAAAGTAATAATCAAAGCTATGCATGTGTGTACACTTGCTACACACACACATACACAAAGCTGAATAGATTCAAGCCTTAATAAAAATAAGAATAACTAGAAAGAATATAAAACATTGAGGGGCTCTGCCTCCAGACCGCACCTCCCAGTCACGCCCAGACGTACGTTCAAGTTCTTGTAAGTAAGGGCTTTGCCCAAGAAAATTTTTCTACTTTACAATACTTTTCTCAAAGAATTATTACCAAATTTTAATTAATCCAGTAGTTGCCATACTATAATTAAGCGCAAAGGAACTTATGAGATAGTGAAATAATTTCAGGAAACTAATTTTAGAAAATTTTAGATGCATGCTGATGGTTTAATTCACTCTGCACCTAGTCAATGATATCACTGCTAAACTACATGTACAACTTGCAAAAACCTCAATAATTTCAGCCAAATTTTGGTATAGTAAGAGTACACATATCAATCTACATGTATATTTATGAATCAATCATATACTCTTCACATTATATACACAGCAGGCTCATGAGAAAGAATGTGATTCCTTACTAGTATTACTAGAGCCAGAAGAAGGCTCTCTGGTCCTTGGAAACACAGCAAACGAAGCATAAGAGACACCACCAGTTGAATTAGTATACTGACAAGTATAGACCCCATTAGTAACATTAGCTATTGAGGTCTGACCATTCTTCCTAAGATACCCTGCCTCCCTGTTTGTGAATGTAAGAGGCTGGGAAGAACCAGTTGGAGTGAGTATTAGAGTAGCATCATTATTAGTGCTAGTGTCACCAGTGTAGCATCTGACCTCAGATACACCAGTGTATACTGATATTGCAGTGTTGTTTGGTAGTAGTCGTCCTGGGGGAGGATTGCTGTGCCAAATAGTTGTACCTTTGGAAGAAAAAACATTATACAGTGAGAAATGAGGGAATAAACAAAAGAATCAAGATACAGGATACAAATACAGGATGCCCTCCAAAATTAATTTCATACCTTGTACTGATATTGTATAAGTAGCGGTATTTCCTCCTGAACTACACACGTGATCTCCTGTATTAGCTCCATGTAGAAACATACCAGTAATATTACTAGTAGTGACTACTGAATCAGAAAATGATGTGGACCATGAGTAAGTATTAGTAGTGCTGGAACAAGATAGAGTGACATTCTCTCCTGCTTGAAACACAGCTGGGGATGAACGAGGAGGAGTTGAGGTTATGGAGACATTGCCAAGAACTAGAACAAAGAGATTAAAAATAATTATTATGGCTGCTATACATTGTTTCGACAACACATTATCGCTATCATAACAAAAGCCTACAATCAATCATTATTTCATGGTTAAACACTCTCATAGATGGTTAAACATGTTTGAAGGTGTTCACACAATTTCAAACAAGGTTTAACCTATATTTATTGTATTATCTTTTCTCTAGCTGCAACAACAATAACTATTATTTCTATCAGTACCATAAAGTAATCTATAGAGAAATCAATCAAGTAATCTGGCCATTATAGATACCATAAGGTACTCTTTTTAGGGGCTAAGTATTATGCTTTCAAATCATAAGCTATAACTGTGCTGACATGCACATGTGAGCCTTTTCATTATGGTGTTTTTCAGTTGGTTGACTTTTTGGCATCTTTGGCATCTTTGGCATCTTCAAAACTATCTAGTCCTCTGTAAAATCATGTACCTCAGGCTCAGAGAGCAATTGTGTAAACTAATAAGAAAGATTATGATTTACAATTTTATTTTCGCTAAAAAAGGAACTCGGCTCGAAAAAGGATTCAAATCCAGGTGCGTTTTGTAGTTTGTAGTACAACAAGTAATATTGTTTTCTGATTGATAGATCGTTATTTAGCAATGCTCATAGCTTGTCTTTTGGCCTGCAGAAAACTCATAAATATCATCTAGTAATCAAGTTTCATCTAACTAAATTTCATTCTTTTTCATAATATCTAGCAGGGGAAATGGAAACTAACACTTTTAATAATTTAAATTTAGATTCCAATCTGTAAATCTAAGAGGTAAGTCAGTAAAAATATATGTAGGCTAACATGCGTATTAAGACTGAATTAATTCACTTGAAGTTAAAAAATATGAATGCCAAGGCGTTAATTTTATGCTACAACTATTTTGCCAACAATTCTTATGATATTTTTTGTAAAGGCTATATACGATATCAATAAACAATGAAAATTGCTGATGACATGCAAGGAGGAGCTTTCAAACACTGAAACACCACGACTCTGAAGAATTTCTGGGCAAGACCATATAGCTAACGAATTGTTTTATTAAATGCAATGGCTGGAAATGAATAAAATCGAAATAAAATAAATTATAGCTGCATGTGCAAATTTTACAGATTATCACACTGTTTTATGCTTCTCATAGTCTATAGATAGTACTATCTATGTTCTCACATTGCCTTCCTACTTACCTATTGATCGTGTCAATAATAAAAGGTACATGTACAAGACCAAATTTCTTCTAAAAGACATCTAAAAGTTGTCCTCAAAGTTGTCTTTTCTCGCTCCGCTAGACTACGTTGTTTGTTTGTGTCGAGGTTTGTGTGCGTGTATAACTTATTAACTTTGTATACATAACCTGCACGTTAGTATGAATCCATTAATAAATCGTGATTAAATGTAGGCGTCACCCACAGAAGTAACTACCACACCCCTTGGTTGGCAGAAAGCTACATCGAAGGAATGGAGATGAGGAAACTTTCCAAAATAAGAAGGAAAGAAGTTGTTTATAGCAGCAAAGAAGCTCCTCACTGATCCATTGGTGTCTATAGCGGAGGTAGCAGCTCTAACTTGAAGCATAGCTGTAAGAAGAACTGCTCATTTGCTTTTTATGCTTTTCTTCCATTCGTTTGTACTGCATTCTGCCAACCACTGCCGGCCCCGGCCGGCCACTGGCAACCAGGGGAGTGGCTTTAACCAGGCTCCACCTTAGCTAATGTGGCTTCGAGCTTCAGGCCTTTGATCTGAAGGTGAGAGGTATAATATACAAGCAAGAAGCTAGCCGGAGGCGTGTCCCTTTATATTAATAATATCTAATTGAATGACCCTGAGTGCCTTAAAGATGAGTAAGATAGAAATTCGCCGTGATTCTTCTAACTGTGCTGTTGTTAATCTACATGGTGAATATTGCTTTTGTCTATAATATTTTGCATTGTTCACTTTAGGAGCTACATTGCAGTCATGGGTTCATGAGGGTACAGAAATGATATTTGTCAGGTTAGAGCTTTTAGTGCAAAAATATAGCATGGCTAGCTAAGAGGAAATATGTGTAGTTTGGCAATCAATGAATGTTATATTTCAGCCACTTTTCATGGAGCATGTTCATAATGAAATATAAAAAATAATTGGTTTTTTTTTCCTAAATTTACCAATTATTAATTTCACTTCATTTAGCACTGGCCTTTTTAACTTGCTAGAACATGCAGTCATTAAAGCAAGCCAGTATGTATAAGCTGGGCCAGCTTGATTTTATTTACCACTAATTATTTGCTCCATTTTTGTTTCATTACTGAGTTTGATTTTTGATCTAGTTATGATTTGAGATTGAAATTGCAAAAGCTCTGCCAGAGTGCTAGTACAATTTGCCAGTACACTAATACAGTGTTTCTTTCTTATTGCTTTTAATGAGGCTATAATTATATTTTAAGTGAAAAAGAAAGACATTACATGCCGTATAGCGGGTATATTCCATGAGAGTTTAATTTTGTTCTTTTTTGTTCTCATTCCTTGTGGAATGAACATTTTCCAATCGAAACAGGTAATTCCTCAATGCCATGTGTGCATAATGGCTACTCAAATTGAAAATAAAACAAATAAAAAATTTCTAATCGTGCTTAGAATGAACATTTTTTCAGATAGTATGTACCTGTTATATGGTAATTAATTATAATTACATGTAGTTGTCATTAATGCTACACATAATTGGTCTGTATTTTTACTCTCTGTTATACTCACATTATGTATGATTTCAGTAACCTAATAATTAGTAAACATTACAACCCTGATTGACATAAATTTTATCAGAAAAGTAGTATAAATATTTTTTTTCATTTTGCATGATTGTGACTCTGTACTAAATGTAACTAAGTTTAATTTATAATGGGCTTGAATAATACTTTTAAAATGTTGGGGTTAGAGTGATGTACCTGTTATGGCTTGAATATCATAAGAATAGTGAGTAATCAATTTTGATTAGTATTATTTACTATAGCAAGAAGAGTGTATTTGATAACAAAAAAGCAATACGTGGAGGAATACCTGTTGTCTTTCGTAAGGAATATAAAAGTTACAATGATTATTATTAATAACATTTAAATTTTATAGCTTGCTTTGGTGTTTGGGAATTAGGTCCTCAACATGGCTTTGCACGTATATCAAAATGGTCTTTACTTGAGGAGCCAACAAAGGTTTGGTACTACATGTACACTTATAGTGTTTTATACTAGTTTCCATTTTATAGGATAGTAATGGTGATGTGAAAGCTGTATTTGAACTTTCAGATGATGATAATACACGATCATTATGGAACAACAAGTATGTACCATTGTACATTATGTTGTTATTGTGGTCGAAATGTAAAAAGATATTTATCACAATAATGTGCATCATTATAAATTGTATAGTATGTAAGCTAATAATCACATACAATGTATACACCAAAAATGACTAGGAGAGAATTCTTCGTTTTTATAACTTTGTCTGATACATATATACATGTCTTTGTTGTGCATTAACTTTGAGCTGACTCTGATCAACTTGTGGATATTAAAACTACTTAATAATTGGGCTAATGACAAAAAGCTATAGCCTTTGTGGTCTTGGCCAAATTTTGTCAAAAATGGCTACGTAGGAATTTTCCATTTTAATAATTTTTGATACATATACATGTTCTCATGTTGAGTAGAGAGTTTGAGCCAATTCCAGTCAAATTTGATTTTTTTTTTAATTTCTAAACTTGCTCAAAAGTCAGGCCAATGACCAAAGGTCTTTTGTAAATTTTGTCTAAGATGGCTAGAATAGAATTCTCAATTTTTAATAAATTTGTACATTGTACATTTTGAAAAATGCACACAAGACCCTAAAGTCCCCTGTACTTACAGTACAGGATCATTCGTCAATTTGCCAAAAATGACTGGGAGGAATTTCCTTTATAAAGTGCAATACATGTATAAATTTTGAACAAATTTTGATCAAAACTGGATTTTTAATAAATTTTTAAAGTTACTCAAAGAGTCATAAGGTTTGTCAGCTCATGAAGCATACTTTTTAGCTGAGTTAGCATGCTTGGTCGTAAATTCTGAGATAAAGTGTTGTTTTAGGTTCAAATTATCATATACAGTCTGTGTGATGTCATCTGGTTTGTTCACTGAGCTTTCTGTTAACAATCTTAATGGTATTTAAAACAGTGAAAATTCAATCTTTTATATTAAATCATTTTTAGACAGTGAACCCTTTTCCTTTACGTGGCTACTTCATACTTATTTTGCTGTTCCTGATGTCACAAAGTGTACTATTTCTGGCCTCTCTTGCCTTACATATAAGGATAAAGTACTTTTGTTCATAACAATAAATTAATTTACATGGATAATAGGTTGATGAAGGAAAGGAAAAGAAAGAGGTTAATGATCTTGTTACTATATCAGGCTTTACTGACAGGTAAAGTATAGCTGAAATGCTGAATATTGTATTGTTACAATACTTTTATCTTTTCCTATTTTCAAATTTTAATTACCTAATATTTGGTCAAGGACATGGGTTTTATTTACCTCATAACAACCTCATTGACTTAAAATTTGTATTTATTATTTGTCAGAATAAAAAATCCAAACTGTTATTTTTTAACCATACTAAAAATTACTTTTTGTATGGCATATCAGTACATATATTTGCATCAGTGTATACTTGATTTTCCTTTATTCCTCAAGGGTGTATAAAGAAGCAAGTGAAAATCATGTCATAACAAATGTAGCTGGAGGTAAAACAGTTCTTTTAAAGAAATCTAATTTCCCAGACACAGGTATAACAATAGCTAATATATATGTACATGAATGATTTAAGAACTTTTTTACTTTTGATGTTTATAGTTGTCTGGAATCCATGGATTGAGAAAGCAAAATCAATGAGTGATTTTGGAGATGATGAAGTAAGATTATTGTGACTTTTCTTTTCATTCTACTATTATCCTAATTATCCTAATAGTATCCTTACATGGTGTGTGTTGAAGCTGGTTATGTTGCTAATAGCTGTACAGTCAATGCTGGATCTTCATACACATCTTCACAGACCATTGATGTTGTATCCAAATGAGTGCTTGCATCGTGACTCATGTAGTTAATTATAATTATTTTGTTTTTCTTTAATTTGTAGTTCTTTTTTATTTTTAGTGCAAGGTTTTTGTTGTTATGATATACAATAACTGTTTTTATAATCATGAACTACATGTTTATATAATGGTCCGTAGATTAAAATATTTTGAAAGCAATGCCAACTACCAATAATTTATTATGTACTATTAGCATTATGTTTTGTAGTAGATGGCTTTCAAAGATTCTCCTTAACCTTTTCACAGCTAGACTTGCTGTTCAAATTATGACTGATGTCCAATAAGTACATTAGCTCTCAAAGAGTATTCTTTTATATTAATTATAAGTTCAAACGTTGTGCTAAAATGGCTAATGCATTATTAGAAGAGACAAAGATTGAACGCAAAAATACTAACCAATTGTATATTTTTTGTAAATTTTAAACAAAATATCATAACAATACATAAAGCAGAAGTTACGTGATTGTGGCTTTACCTCTTAGAGATAAGTAGCCCTGTACAACATTAGTTGGTAATGTTCTAACAAACTCAAATTCTTCAGATGAACTGAACTGCAGTCCTGTCAATGGATCAGTATAGTTCGACAATAAACCAGAGACATCAGAATATTTTTTAGGAGGCTTTATTGGAGGAGGTGCTTCTATGCTATTGTAAGTAGGTAAGAACTGATGGTGATCCAGTCTAGCATTAACATCAGACTGAATGATTTGTTTGAGACTCTTCCATGTCCTTTTCTTGTTTTTGTCAATGAATGAATATGAGAAAGCAGGATTCTTAAACCCAAGTTCCAATTGAGCCTTTTTAGGTGAGACAATATCTGGTAGTGTTTGTACAATGGGTGCAGGACTCTCACTCTCAGCTTCTTTGTTATTGCTGGATGAAGAGGATGACGTAGCTGAAGAATGACTGGTTGATTTTCTTTTAAGACGTGATAAGAAGCGTGTTCCTATTACTGAATTCTGAAGTGACACAATAAGCTTTCCCTCAGTTATTTCTTCTTCAGTGGTGCTTGTTACAGACGGCCGGCCACGTTTCTTTCTTGTTACTAATGGATTAATTAGTTCCTCATGCTCTGCCTCAGATAGTTTCCTACTCTTCTTTCGTAATCTTTTATGTGCGTTTCCACTCATCTGTCAACTAACTGTGAACAAACATTGTAAATAAATATACATGATAATGCCATCAGTATAATTACGTTCAGTCAAACCAAAAATAATAGCTTATCTATGATGAAACTGAAGGTTATTCATTGGTGCTACATGCATTTGTAACTTGTAACAGTATAAACTGAACGCACATTTAACACCCCTAGAAACTGGGCAAAGTCCTTCACAGAACAATAATAAAACCTAAAAAGTTTGACTCAACAAAAACCACTAGGTAATGTGTTCACTGTATTAATTTGGTACATTGTCTGGTCACACCTCTTTGTCGTACCAGGAGTCCAGGACTCATCATTGGGTCCCTTTGCATGACAAAGAGGTATCACCTGACTAGCACATGATTGATTATTTTAAAACATTATATAAATCCTATTTTATACAATTATACATGTATATACTAGTACTTAGTTAATTTTAAAATAAAAGACACGAATGACTCATTGGTAATTAGAAAACTTACTGTAGTAACAGCGTTGAGCATGGAATGCAAACTTTAGTGCTTTACTTTACCAGAAATCTGACACTACAAGAGGACACACCGAGGGATACACATGCTCTTTTCACTGGTCAATCCAAGACTAAAAATTAAAAAGGCGTGGTTCATCCGCCTTTAATCAAAATTAATTTGCCAGCACAGCTAATCTACATGTCTTTTTGAACTTTGATTTCAATATAGATTAAAAAATCAAAACAATGAGTGTAAGCCACAATAATGATAACAACAATAACTAAAACACCCGGTTATAATAAATTAATCATTAAGACTGAAAAAGCTAAATTTATTATAATAATTTTTATGAGTAAAAAGTTAGAACTGATGTTTGATTTCCTCTGACGAGTACCACTGGTGGTAAATTCCTGCTAATAACCTCCAACCAGCTCATATACTTAAGAGAAGAGCTTCCCCTTCGAGGCACAGGAATGGTACTATAAAAATAATGCCATGTTTAATTGACAATATTGTGACACGTACTGTACTTACAATACTATAAGCTTAGAATTCAATGAATGCTCATGCAGTAACTCTCCAACACGAATCATTTTAAGAGTTTTCTTGTCCAAGCTGGAATGATCAGTAGCTTCATCTGATGGTAAAGCCAAGTAGCAATCAATACTGAAGGAAATATAATGTAATTAATGACTGAGTATTTGGAGCATACCTGTCTTTGCTTGGTCTTTTTGTGATGCCTGATACTTCTATAACATCAGAAACGCTAATTCTAAACTTTCTCAAGAGAGCAGTCATTCTATTAAAATAATCAGCAGTTACGAGTAAAAAGGAAATATAAAGTAGTAAAAATTAGATTTGAATAATTATACCATAGTTGTGTGGATGCATCTTTAAAGATAAATGTACGTGTACTACGTAGAACTGAAACAAAGAAGCATACACTTTGATGTGTGAACGAGGCTGCTAGCTACTACTAGCATCAAGTACAGTGTATGTACTCTAAACACAAAATACAGGTTGACCACTAAGAGTAGTAGAGTGCAATAAAGTTTGCTGTAATTTTCAGAAGTAATCTCCAAAACCACAAGGACACTTTACATATACTGTACATGTACAGCATGTTATAACAAATCCAAGCAAGCATAATAGTACATTTACATGTACATGTACATACATGTACATACCTCAAGCGTGCTCCATCAATATTAGATGATCCAGCTACAAATATTCGGAGCTTGCAACTCTTCCATAATGCATTCCTTGACAACAAAAAGGGAAGCAAAAGAGCCAATCCTACAAGATATAAATGTACATGTAGTTATTATAGCATTATATTTGAATAAACTCAGTATTCTCATGCACACAAACTAACCTCCATCATCATAAATCCACCACACATCAATAAAGCCAGCTTCTTGCTTCTTCTCGAATCTTGATGGCAGAGTAATAATGTCAGGCATTTCAGGAACTTGAGAAGAACTTGGTGGTCGTTCCTCATCAAGAGGACTTAAAATTAATAATAATAAAAAACAGAAAATAAAGTACATGTGCACTTACTTGTCTCCATTCTCTATTGCTATTGCATAACTATCTAAGGATTTTCGATCAGTGCCTATCTCATCTTCATCTTCATCACTTAAATGAAGTGATACATTATCACTATTGGCTGGATCTGCTGCTTCATTCAATGGTATATCAACAAGTTCATGACTAGCAAACCTACATGACACAAACAACATTAATAAACCAAAAATAAAGCATGCATCGTAAAAGTCTAAACATGTATATGTACATGTAAGGAATAATGAATAAAATTTTGAAAAATAATCACATACATGTACATGTACATGTATATGTACATGTTGTGCATGTATCAGTGGGCAGGGTTCCCCACAAAGCATGCTACAAGTAAACTAAACAGCATATTTCATGAGCTGACAAGCATATTGTACATGCAAGTACATATGGCATTTAGAGCAAATTTAAAAATTCACAAAAATCCAATTTTGATTGGAATCAACTCAAATTTTCTAAGCAGCATAGGACCATGTACATGCATACATGTACACGTATATGTATTTATTAAAAAATTATAAAAAGAGAAATCTCTTCTAGCAGTTTTTTCAAAATAGTAAATAATTCATAATAATAATAAATTGAAATGAAAAACACATACACTTAAATTCTAAAATACAGAAAATCTTATTATTTGCAGGAGCACTGCAATGACTTGTACTCACGATTTGGGCTTTGGTGATGATGACATTGGTAACAATGGTATTTTACTTTCCTTCCTTTCTCCCATTATTGGAGGAGACTCATCAGATGATTTCTTGAGGGTTGCAGCTCTGCTAGAAGGACTATCCACTTGATCAGTTGCATCAAATCCAGCTCTCAAACGAAATATGACAACACCAAATTGTAGATCAAAAGCATCACTACGAATTTAAAAAAAGTACAAGTGCAAGTTTACACAAATTAAATCTCATTAGTAATGTAAGCAGAACAAAGTTTTATTTGTTACTAGTAACTGTACCTACAATTAATACACGTATATTCACATTCACAGTTTGTCTATATGCACATGAAACAATACAAAAATAAATGCATGTACAATGTACATATTTGTAAGTACATGTAAGTTTGGGCATTCAGAAATACCTAATTACCAAGAGCAAATTCTTGTGGAAATTAAATTTTGTGGACTTCATACATTAAGCACTGCATCATGTATATACATATATTACATAATGGATATACTTTGTTACTACATACATGTACATGTGTACATGTACGACAGGTTTATACAGGAAGTTAACATGCCACAGTGTATATTCTTGGTGTGTTTCATATACAAAATCACAGGGCTATTACATGCACATGTACATTCATTATAATAAAACTATGGTGTACAATATACATGTTGTAAATGCACATGTACATTGTACATGTATGTTAATGTTTCCTTACTGCAGTATATTAACATATTCATCAACATCACTGTATTGACTCGTTTTCCAGTTGTTCTTGTAGCCTATTGCTAATATATTTGGTCTCATTTTACCTAGTCCAGACAACTATTGGAAAGAGAATAACAAACAAATAAAATGAGGTCACAATTATTGTTAGATCTAGAAAAAATCTAGGAGACTTTTGGTCTCTTAAATTTGGTTGAGTGATTGAAGTTTTCTAAATTGTAGAAATTCCCATTTCATATAGTTTTTGCTCTTTTATAATTAAATGTCTATCGTTTTAACTCCCAAAAATTATTTCTAGATCTAACGATGTTCCCAACAATAGTTAATGTGCATACACTATATATTTCTATAGGAACCCAAAACTTGTGACTGTACTGCAGTATAGGCACAAGTAATAACTAATAGTTGAACCACACAAAACTAGTCTATACCACAATCACATACCTGCAGAAGGCTTTGTGTTCCATTTCTCAGTGAACTAGAAGTTACAATGTTATGAAAAGCTCTTATCTAATTCAAAATGAGAAAAATAATTAATGAGCTTGATTATTATAAATTTTGTACCTTCTTTGTTCGAAGCCACTTCTTCTGCTGAGTGCTAAGCAGAATCCTCCTGTTAACACTATGTTCTCCCTAATACACATACATGCATTAAATGAAGCAGTGTTAATTATACACATGCATACATGTAAATGTACAGTAAACGTGTATAAGTGGATGCACATGCACACGACATAGAATTATATACACGTAAATACATGTACATGTACATGCATGTACAACTTACTTGCAGAACTTGTCCACAAATGGTCATACCAGTGTCTGCTGATATTTGTGATAAAAAGAAAACTAAATCAGGACGAGATGACGGAGGACCAGTCAATGCTAAAAACTGTGGCCTACAAAATGACACGTAATGACTTTGCTTACACAAGCAAAACTAATCTAGCATCATATGATGTGTAGATGTACATGTATATGTACATGTACATGTATTTTGATTCAAAATTATATATTGCATATTACATGTACATGTATGTGACAGAAGATATGTACATGTGTACATGTAGATAATGCATGTGCATGTACATCTAAATGTACATGTACATGTAGTATATACATTACATACATAGCAAAATGCAAGTTTAAATATGTGCAGTGCATGTATATGAATATAAGCTAAGCATCTTCCTATTACATGTATAATACCAAGAGTACATTCAATTTACACAATGATCAAATGATGAACATTACCTAAAATTCTTGACATGATCCTCTAGTTTCTCTAACTTTAACAAATTTCTCAATGCATACGTATATAGAATAGCATGTGTACTAGATCCCCAGTTAATATCTATCGGGCAAATCCAATATTACATTATTGTTAGTAATGTACCTGGTTTCCGCCAGTCAACAAGCAAGTAGAGAAAACCAACTGCTATCAGTGTTATCAGTGCAGCCCACCAGCTTATAACAAACATAATAGACAAGCACAAAGCTGATCCTAAGAGTGCTATCCACATTGAATAAAACTTAAAAGATGGACGCCAGCCTACATAATATAATAATAAGTCCTCAATGACCAAACATTCGTTGATATTTAGTTATACCTGGACTCTTCGACAGTGATGCCATAAAACAAGAGAAATTAATTAGTGTGTAGGCCATTAAAAAGAAGTTAGATATGATCAATGCAATTACATTCAATTCACCTACAGAAATCAACAATTAATAGGTAATAATGACACATCTGTTACATCAGTACACGTACCTATTCCAATGCAAGCAATAGCGATTATAAATGTTAGAAAATATCCACGAATTGGTTCATTACCAGTTCCACGCCAACCTCCTCTACCAAAAAACTCCATATATGGAAATATTTTGTCTTGACAAACTCTCTAACAATAAACAAATAATAAAGAACATGAGTGTCAAATAGTGTATACAGCAGCTGGTTTATTTCGTGCAAAATGAATTTATATAAGTTTACTAAAATTAATTCCACTACATTTTATTAACATCAAAGAAATACATGTACACACACAATTAACAAAAATTTTGTAAATCACAAACATTAACTTAAAAAAATTTTAAACAATGAAAATTTGAGGCCACAAATTAATTAAACCAGCTATATGGCATACATGTACATTGTAATAGTCTATACAATGCCTACTGTACCTGAAACACTTTCGGTGCACTAACAAGACTAGCTAATGCTGATGACAAGGTAGCAGCAAATATCCCTGCTGTCATAATAGGCCCCCAAACTGATATCATCTCCATTATCTACAGTATCAAAATAACAATATATAAAGCAAAAATTAAATAATCACTACATGTACATGTAAGTGTACATCTAATTGCACATGACAACATACAGTATAATATGAATACAAAATAAGTTTTCCTAAAGTTGATCTTTTGTGAATGTGATGCTTTCACAAAATACAAAGCCCTAAGTACAATGTACACGTACAATGTACATGTACATGTACATTGTAAAATTATTAACACAAATTTAGCAGTAAATATTAAGCTACATGCAGAGTATCATGTGCATGGCCAAAATGTTAATACACTAGTTAGTCCTCTCAGGCTCCCACAGCAAAACTTAATGTGTACATCTCACTTACTTGAAAGTATCTAATAGTTCCAAAGAGACAGTGCTGATTACTGCCATCAAGACAGACAGCATCAACCCCATCCTGATAATCACATGGCACACTCAGACAATCAGTACAGTTCTGCATAAAACCATTCACTGTTCCCAAATCAAAAAATGATGACATGCAGTAAGTGAAATTAGAACTAGATTCATCTAGTCCTGAGCTACATTGAAAGGATGATGTTGCTTCAGCTATCTTGTCAAAGTATAATGTTGGGGTGCCAGGGGCAAATCTAACAACAGTGAATCCAATCATCCATGCTATTACCAGATACACAGCACTGCTGATGAATATAGCTGTAAATGTTCCTTTGGGTATAGCAGTTTGTGGGTCCTATCATATTAAGAAAAATAATAAAAATTAAAGAAAAAAATCGATTAAATTTAATTGATTTAAAATTCATAAGCAACATCCTATCATATCACATTAACATTATTAAAGACCTTAAGGTTTCCTGATATATTAGCTCCAGCGAGTATACCTGTAGCTGCTGGGAAGAATACAGAAAAGACGCTGAAGAAATTCTGGTTGTCATGATAGTCAGGAGGAAAGTTGTCAACAAATGTACCCCCTACAACAAAACAGAATTAATACAAAAACAAACGGCAATAAAAATTGTGGAAGGATACAGTACATGCATAATTTTGTAATTTATGAAAAAGAAAAAAATTGTAATAAATAAGGATAATTCATACATAACTCAGTACAATAACTGTCAAAAAAAATTCAAAAAATTAAGTTACATGTACATGGACTTTTAAGGATTAGCAAAACAATTTCCACAAAATTTAAATTATACATGTACAAATACATGTGTATACATGTACATGCATGTATGTACATGTACATGTATATGTACATGAACATTGTGTAGGCTTACATCGATAATAAGTAAATCCTTGTAATGTTACAGTATGATCACAACTTCTTGGTATGAATGAACCAATCACAGCATCAATAAGAGCAACAATCAACACAACTAACAAAACTAATTGAATCTGAATAATTAGAAAGGAAAATTGTATAATATATTATGAAATATGTGTACCTTTGATTCCCAATCTAATCCAATCAATGCTATACCCAACAATAATATAGCAGTAAAAAAGCCAAATATACGTATGTGGTTTATTTCCGAGAGTCCTGGTATAGGAACATTGTGTCTCTATTGATTACATTAAGGAATATACACGTAATTATTTCTAAGTATTATAATTCATATACCACTAATAGTTCAGTCAGTGTTTCTGCAAAACCAACAACATAAAGTCCCACAGCTACTGCATTAGCCAGTGAAAATATAATACCAATAGCTCCTCCTATAAAATAAATACACATGTAACAATAATAAATAAATGTAATGTAAATGTACCAAATTCAGGTCCCAAACTCCGAGAGATTAAATAATACGCTCCTCCTCCTTTCACCTCACCGTTGGTACAAATGGCTGACATGGATAACGTGGTAACAACAGTTACAACAGTGGATAGTATAATGATTATAGAAGAGAACCCTATACCAGCTTGACCTACAACCCAGCTAAGTCGGATAAACAGCATGACGCCCCAAATATTCAGTAAACAGCGTATCTACACATGTAGTAAGTATATATAATGATTATTAAGTGCATACACATGTACATGTACATATACATGTACATGTACGTCACACTTACAAGCACTCCTTGAATCCAGCCTAACTTTTTAGGCTCTGCATTATTAGTCTTGTTTCTTTGACATGGCCAACACTTCCTTCTTCTCTCTCCTCCTTCCCCTATTGTAACCATATCAGCTTCATCTCCAGTAACCTGAAATGACACATTCACACAGTAAAATAAGCATACATAATGTACTGTAACATGCATGCGTGGATACAATTACTACTATTCACAGATCAATGAAATTTAACACATACTACTGTAGATACTTCACAGATTTAGCATGGGGCTGATTGCATAATGACACACCCCTATGGGAATTTTCATCGCACAACAAAGCAAATAATGTTTAATTTGAAAAATAGGACATAAAAACTCCCTGTAATAACTACTGGCACAAGGGCATGAGTACAACACCAACAACAACAAGTGCTATATCACAGATAATTTTGATTGGAGGCAATTTTGGCAAATTGCTAAAATTTGCTAAAATATTGGTGATTGGCAGGTTCAAATTTGTGGCCATGTGCTATTGAGCACATACATAATCGTACAAATTACAAATTTCAATCATGCAAATAACTATCAAAACATCAAATTTGCCAAAATTTATCCCTTCTAAATTTAGCCCCTATACAGTACATGTACTATATACATGTACGTGTATAAGTAGGGATGTGCGATATAATCGATACTGCGATATATCGATTAAAATAAAGCGATTATTTATTACAATTAAATTGATTTCATATCAATTAGAGTTAATAATCTATTATTAATAATTAACTACCGACACATAGCCAAAATGGCAGAAGCTAGCAGTCCTTCTAATCCTCCTTCTTATTGTCCTTTACCTGGTGGAAAGAGTAAAGTTTGGAAGTATTTTGGATTTAAAGTTGATAAAAAGGGAAGAATATTGAGCCAAAAGGAAGTGTTTTGCCTACTGGAAGAGTGTAAATGTCGGCTGCCGTATACTACTAATTTGTTTTACCATCTGCGTAACAACCACCCAGAGGACTATGGGAAGATTGCTCCAACGACTACCAGTAAGACTACTCCTGCATCTAGTAGCGCTAATCAAACTACTCTCACTTCTTACATTGCTAATACCCAGCCGTACAGTAGGTCTTCTCCCCGTTTCCTCGCCATTGAAGATGAATTGTTAACCTTTCTTTGTAAGAGCATGCTTCCTCTTAGTCTTGTTGAAAGTGCTCACTTTAAGAACTTTTTGGCAGCCCTAGAACCAAGGTATAAACCATCATCAAGAGCCTACTACACAAAAACCAAGTTACCACAGAAATATGAAGCTACTAAGGAGATTGTGAAACAGGAACTTGATAATGAAGCCATACACTGTTCGTTTACTACAGATCTATTGACTGGGTGCCATAATCGTGGTTACCTGTCTCTAACCGTTCACTTTGTTGACACAAATATGAAGATGAAGCACTACTGTCTAATGACAAAGGAGGCTGATTCTGCTCATACTGCCGAAAATCTTGTTTTAGTTTTGAATGAGTCATTATCTGAATGGAACCTAGATGAAAAGGTGTATGCATTTAGTACAGATAATGGGCAGAACATGGTAAATGCTGTCGTACACCATCTTAAGGTGCTACACATTCCATGCATTAGCCACACATTGCAGCTAAGTGTTCAGAAATCTTTCAACATTGACTACATTGCAAGAGTCCTTGCTAAGATATGGAAGTTAGTAGGGCATTTTCGAAAGTCGACAAAAGCTACATATGAATTCTGAAGTAAGCAAGCTCTTTTGAACTTACCTAAGCATGAACTGATTCAACAAGTAGACACTCGATGGGGATCAACACATCACATGTTGGAAAGGGTAATGAGCAACAGCCAGCACTCTGTGCAGTTCTTTTAAGTAGTTCAGATAGAGTTATTTGCAGTTACTTACCTGAGGGTGAGGAATGTAACATCACTAGGTGAATGTAAACATTGAGGGGGCGAGCCATCAATTCACATTGTTTGATAAGAAGATTAAAATTATAATAAATCCAGCTCTTAGCCTGCATGCATATTCAGACCCCAGCATCATGGCCAGGGTCTGAACAGAACAAACACCAGTTAACACAACCAAAATAACCCAGTAAAAGAGACAAGGATGAACTATCCTGTCACTTTGAAAAAAATGTGCCAAGCTAAACTTTTAATCAAGCTTCCATTAATTAACATCTTTTTGAAATAAAACTATTGAAATAAAATCAATCCAGCTCTTAACGTGCATGCATATTCAGACTCCATCCTCATAGTCCGACGGTAGTCTCGCGTAGCCAGACTCCTAAGTCAAAAAGGGGAGGAGTCTGGCTACGCGAGACTAGTCCGACAGGGTCTGAACAGAACAAACCCACTATTTAACACCACTGACCAAAATGACCTAGTAAAAGTGACAAGAATGAACTGTCCTAATAATTTGAGAAAAAGTGACAAGCTAAACTTCTAATCAAGCTTCTCTCACAACTTTAATTCTGTCAATGAGAGGACTAATCTAGAGGAGTCTTAGATCAAACTGCTTTTAAGTTCTTCAGCCTTTAGAGATGCTTTAGACAGCCCCTCTCTCTTATCTAACTGTTAGAAACTCAATCTGAGTTTGTCACGTTAAAATTTCCGCCATCTTGCTCTTTTTGACCACACCCTCTAGATTAATTTTGCCCACGTGGTCCAAATTTATCAATAATAGTATACTAATTTAATTTTCGTATTCTTCTGTTCATAAACAAGACGTAACGCAAATAGACCTAGACAGATTAGTGTGGGTCTCGCTCATGCTCACCCCAATAAATGAACTTATTAATGTTCCCAGGCCATTTGTTCAAGCTACGACACTTATGAGTGGTTCATCATATCCTGCTACTGGTATGTTATACCCATTGTTATATAAACTACTACATATAACACTTGCAATTAAAGAAGAAGACAGTACACACATCAAAAAGGTAAAGCAAGCTATTTATGAAGATTTGGTGTCTCGGTATAATGATGACAACTTGCAATTAGTTCTGAAGAAATCTTCATACTTGGATCCAAGATTCAAAGATCTAAACCCATTTATACCTGTTGAGGAGTGTGAGAATGTTGTTGAAGCAGTGAAGATAGACCTTTTTGATATACTCAATGAAAATCTACCAACAGATTGTGAAGCTACTGAAGTTTGTGAAGCTACTGGCCCAACTAATGATCTACCATCTGATCCACCTAAGAAGAAGCAAAAGCTGGCATCTGTATTATTTTCTGATTTTATGGCGTCTAAAGACAGTAGTTTGACACCAAATTCATCTCTAGAAATTGTACTCTCTGAAGTTAGAAGATACATGTATAATGATGAGGATATGCTGGAATATGATGGTGACCCAATGGAATGGTGGAGTATTCATAAAAGTCATTACCCAACACTCTGTAAATTAGTCCGTAAGCTTTGGTGTGTTCCAGCTACTAGCGTCAGATCAGAGGAACTATTTTCAACAGCTGGAAATGTTCTCACTGACAAAAGAAGCCGATTGCTTCCAGATAATTTGGACAAACTTGTATTTTTAAGTAACAATTTATAAGTATTTTATTCATTGGTGTTACTGATACCATTGATTAATACAATCATACCATTATTAAAATTCATACTAATCATTTTGATTTCTTAATGATAATCGCAATAATTGTGATAATTTTGCTAACAATAATCAGTATTAATCAATAATCAGTATTAGTAATTTGCCAATACACATCTCTATGTATAAGGTACACAGACACACACATTAAACAAATAGTTTATTTAATTTGTTTATTTTTGGCATCGGTTGGATCAAGAGTAATCTTAATTGGATGTACAGGCAAAGAATTAATTATACTGTCATTTTTCTTATTAATGAATAATAGACTACATACAAGTACATGTAGAATGTACACATGTACAGACTTACAGATGATCTTTTAACAGTGTGTTGTTCAATATCATGGAGTGCATCTAAAGAAGGTCTGGGAAGGCCTTTATCATCAACTTGGTCCCGATAATAAACTGTATTAGGGACAGCATCGGAAGTATGGTATGAACTGGTGACAGTGGTGGTCACTGGATCTACCACTGAAAATGATTGCTGGTGATGCTCATCGACATCTTCCACTTCAAACCTACGACGAAATGTCGTAAAATACTATCTAAAAGTTGGGCAATCACCTCGTTTCCAACTCAATCTCTCCTCGACCTTCTTCCATATTTGATAATTTGACTATTTGTCAGTATTTGAGGCGAGCGAGGGGCAGGGTTGCCAGATGGGTTTGGCCAAAAGTTCACAATTTTTTTGAGAAAAGTTCATGTTTATCAAAAAAAGTTCATGCATGCAAAATTTTTAAATAATTTGACTTTTTGGTTAAAATTTTATTCAAAATGTAATTATAATGAATAAACTCAAAGAATATGTGTGTGACTGTGTGTTTACTACTGTTTAGTCATGCTCTAATTTTCATCTGATTCATCTGATGAGGAAGAAGGGCTAGAAGATCTACGATACAATGTTTCTGAAGTCATCATCATTCTCATATCAGATGAAGGAGTGAACTCAACACATCCTTCATTTAACTTAATGCCATTCTTAGCTTTTAGAATTGCCCGAACTGTGCTTGTTTTTAGCTTATTTCTCAATTTTGTTTTGATGAGGTTCACTGAGGAAAAAATTTTTTCAGCATCTACATTAGCATGTGGTAGGCTTAACATGTTACCCATAAAATGACATAGTACACTAAATTGTGTTTCTCCAGCCCCATTTTTGACTTCTAGTAATTTTCCCCAAAATTCCTCTGGCTCCATGCCTTCTTTGTTAAATGGGAGTGTTTCAATAGCTAGCTTACGCCACTCATTGTCAAGCTGCTGTATTTGTGATTCTTTGATAATATTGGGAAATGAAGCAACAAGAGGAACAAGACTTGGAAATTTCGATTGACAGTCAGTAGATGGATCAAGAGCCTCAAACATTTCAATCATAGGGTCTCCAATGGGAAACCTGCTCTTGATTTGACAAGCAGCTTCTATGTAGAATTCTTGAACTTTTTTTAGAAAGTACTGGAAATCACCTATACTCGTTGCTTCTATTCTGTTGTAGTAAGCAGTAGCGCAATTTTTGCTCCCATATACATTTTTGTTAAAGGTAAGAAATTTATTTCAGATGTGGGATCAAGATCTTTTAGATTTCCTTGCTTCCAGTAACTGCTAAGCATATAGCAGCTCAAAAGATCTCTGTACATGGTATTTATAACCCACGAGATAGGCAGTGTAACTTTGAAACATAACATTTAAATCAGTAAACTTGGGCAAAACAAAATTAAGAAAATGAAAGTAAAGCTTCCAAATTGGATTTTCTAACTGACTCAATATTTTTTGAGAAGCTAAGAGGTTATCAGTGGTGACAACAAATTGAAAATACAAGATGAGTGCATCCCTTTGCTCAATAATTCTCTAGACACACGAATGCAAAGACAACCAATGAGTTTGGCAGCGTTTTAAAATGCAATGTGGTTCCACTTCTGCAAAAGCTTGAAACTTTTCAAATTCAGCCTGGCGTTTGGCACTATGACAGAAGTAATTATATGTATCGTGAATAAGCTCCTCTGCTGTTTGAGGGAGTTTCTCACAGGCATGTGAAGCACACAAATGTGCACTGTGACAAATGCATTGGAAAACAAAAACATTTGGAACCTTTTGCTTTAAACGAGAAACAACACTATTGTGTGGTCCGAACATTACATCTATAGTGTCGGCAGCAAACCCTATGATGTTGCTTAAGGGTATGTTATCTCTTTCTAAAACTTTGCATATTGACTGAAAAATGGCCTCAGCATTTCCTGCATCTAACTGGATCAATTCATATAAGGAGCATGAAACATTCTTCAACTCTGGACTGTACTGTCTTGTCACTAAAGCTAGCTCTTTTTTTGTCGACACATCTGTTGTTTCATCTATTATTAATGAAAAGGTATTCCTCTTTAAGCTATCAACTAGCTTACTATGAAAATGCGGAGCTAATACATTTTTTATGATGCATTTCGTTTTTGTCCTTTTACATTTTACATCAGCAGCAATTTTAGAATCAGGACAAAGCTTAACCAGTAGGTCACTGAAGTGATCCATTATATTAAATGACCGTCAAATTGTGCTCGCTGATGAAGGCTGCTAATCGTAACTCAGTTTCCTTAACAGCACTTGTACCTTGATCTTGGGTTTGAAACATTGTGTCAATTCGGCTAGCAGAAGGAATTTGTAGCATTTTTACCTTTTCTTGATGGTAAGTTGTACTCTCGTGTTTTCGTAAAGCTGTAATAACAGCTGTCATTTCATGTCCAGCAATGAGTGGTCGCGGATTAGTATACTGAGCAATTATCTCCGTATACTACTGGTTGACTTTATACAGGGCAGGAATGGACATTTCCATTTACTAGGCTATATCTTTCTTCAGAATAAGTCTCATCAATTTGCGCACTTCAGTAGTTGTTCTCCATAATTATACCTGTGTTCCTGCTAAATATGACAGCACTTGGAGTAACTTTGTGTGGAACATTTGCAGATTAAAGATGAGGGCAGTCAGTGCCGCCATTTTGTCATTCCTTTATGTATGTATGATAATTTTTTTACTTTTTGAATGGTTATATCTAAATTTCAAACAATTTTTGACAAATTGCGCACTTATTTTGTGAAAGTACAACATTTTTACTGCCCAATCATGCAAAAAAGATAAAGAAATTCAAAACTTTGTTCGGTACTTTAGTCTTCTAAAGGTGAAATAATTTTAGTTGTCTCAGTGATAACGGGTGCAGCAACAAGAGTGAACAAGTGCTTTTCTCTTCTCACGGGAATAATAAAGTAAAACTAAGAGTGCTTAACAGCTATACAAGCAAATCATGTCTCTAGATCCTTTTAAAGTAATAACAAGAAGGCCTTTTGTTAGTGGATGAGTCTTCTTGCGCCACGCCTGCCACTTTAACAATAGAATATGAAAAAACTACCATAACCAATTGCATTAAGTAGCATTCAAGAAGCTCCAAGTATCTAGTGAGGTCCCATCCATGAACCAGAAAGACGTTAGCAGGCTTTGTAGTGAAGCGTCCTATCAATCCACCATTGCTGAGCTGCCGTTGCTATGGTAATTCCAATGAATATCATTAAATCAATGCGACCGGAAGTCCCATTGCAATAGCTGGACATGTCTCTTTTACAAACTCGGCAAAATGCTTTATGAGGCCGCTTTCCTTTTATTTCCATCAGCCAAGGTTTTAGCTTTGGATCCCTTTCCCAAGCTTTTCGATAAGTCTGATAAAATGACTTTCTTGAACTTGAGCTTGAACTTGATTCCAGACCTTTCTTACTCTTTCTATACATACACCTAGTTAATAGAATATAGCTGGTTTATGATGCTAGTGATGAGATTTAGATCATAGCTATAGTACCTTCTTCCTTTTACTCTTTGGTGAAGTGGTGTCACATTCACTATGAAGTTCAGCAGAGCTGTCATACTCAGAGCTTTCATCAGAACTGGCTTCCATTTTGGCATTTACAGAATAGTCAGATTTGAAATTTGAATAAATGTACAGCTGCTACAGTCAGCTGAGCATGTTCAGAATGCATCAGTGCATAAAACAGATGCTGTGCCATGCAATTCATCATTGTTCATGCAAGTTCATGCTATCACATTGAAATGTTCATGAAAAGTTCATGAAAAATTTAAGGTTATAAAAAGTTCATGCAAAAGCCCAAAAGTTCATGAAACATGAACTTTGTTCATGATCTGGCAACCCTGGCGAGGGGTGCAAATATGGGTGTGGTGACACCGCCTACCAAATCAGCTGACAACATTCTAATGAAATTATATTCATTTTTTATTTCTATTAGGTTTCTTTCTTTGATCCTGTTAGAGATAGACTGACTAAAAACTTTAGGCTCACTAAGTTGCATTAAAGTAATGAGTTTCTTCAATAATAAGAGGATTTCATGAGAATCTGGAAGGTATCGTAAATTAAAGCTAATAATTTTTAAAATTTTGGTAATAGTGATAAATTTTTGCTAATGGGCTGTTATACCACTGGTCATGTCTCACTTAAGAATGTGCTTAAGTACTAGAGTCAAATCTTCAATCAAAAATAATGAATTAGTAAAACAGACTTAATTAAGGTTATACCTTTCGTAAATGTGCATATAATACGTGTATGTAATACTTATAACAGGGCTAGGAGTGATGTATCTAATTTACAGTCACTGATCCTGAGGGCACATGCGCCCGAGGGGGAGGTACTATAAATTAGATACCGTACTGGTAGGAAATTTTGAGGGTATAAAATTTTGTGTTTTAGTGAATAGCTCTTAAATTAAATTCTTTAATTTTAAGGGGGTTAATTTTGTGTTTTTGCACGTGTACTTTCATTAAGTCATTGATTTTCACATGCTGCGCATGCGCAATGAGCATTTCCAGAGTATTAATTTTCGTGGTTGAGAAGTCACCCATGAAATCCGTGAAATTAAATGCCCCACAGAATTTTATACTCGTACGGTACATCACGAACTAGCCATGTTATCAATTGCTCATGTCATGATGATGCATATCAAGGGCTCTGCGCAAACACATGCGCAGATTTACCACGTGCTGACATTGAATAATAATGGCTGAAGGAGCTTATGAGCAAGAGATTGAGAAGAAGTAAGATATCAGACGATAAAAATGTGGAAACTATGCCTGAAAAAGAGATGGAAACAGTGCCAGAGCTAGAAGAAGAGATAGAAGTGGTGTTAGAGGATGAAACACCGGATGGATACACCGTAATTGTTCACCCATTCAAAGCCAGATCTGATCCAAACAAGAAAGCAATACACAATACAGCATTAAGGCATGGCTCCTTGAAATGACAACCTTTATAAGAGGTTTTTTAATCAATGAATTTTTGATAGCCCTCTTCATGTAATCGGTAATCCTGCAGAGGTTTTCCGGCAATGATGAAATTTTTTTTCAGCCTTCTTCGTATAATCAGTACTATTCTGCACCAGTCCATCAAGAATAATAAAGAATTATAATTGTTTTTTTAATCAAAATAATAACAATCTTTGATTAAATTGTGGGTGGCTTATAACATCGTTGTGGGTGGGTTAGATCACTGTTGTGGGTGGCTTAGATCACTGCTGTGGTCTTGCTGGGTTATAGTGCATGCGGTACCTTTGATGTGTGTCATCAGTAGGATATAAGTACTTTTATGCCTTACCTCCTGTCTATTTCACTCTCTCCCATAAAAGTTAGTCTTGCTAATATCTGCCAAAATCAGCATTAAGTAGGGACTGTATTGAGGATATTAATAAACAAATCATTTCATGAAGATAATGAACCTTTTACATTAAAACTCCACCTCATTTGGTGTACAGTTGTTAGAGAATGTGTAATATGATAAGCTCCCCCAATTATTATTACATTCTCTGATGCATGTTGATGTCCTTATGCTATGTAGAATGTTTGAGCTGATTCCAACTTCATTTTTTAAAGTTATGAGCACTTTTATGAAGTTAGCAAAAGGCTATAGCCCATATTTTTAATGGCTTTGAAATCACCCCAATTTTTATTGCTTTTTGTAATGTGTATTGATATCCTTATGCTACAATGTTTGAGCTGTTCTAACTTTAATTTTTTGAGTTATGAACACTTTCTAAAACTTTTCTTGGGCTTACACAGTCTCACATAAGCAATAAATTTTTTGCTTATTATTGAAAATAAGTATGTTTCAGTGTGTATTTTTATATGCTTGACAGGTATGTATGTCATATGGATAGTATCCATTAAAATGATAGTGAAGTTAAGGGAAAGCATACTAATTACTTTCAAAAAAGAATACATGTCACTGTTTTACAATGTACATGCATAGCAAAATTTTCTGTTTTTACTCCTTTATACCATTTATTTAACTTAGTTCCTTTCTCTTCCCCTTTAGACAAATGATAGCTAATTTTTTATGTGAAATAAAAGTTTTCATTAACTTTCCCTACACTTTGGAGGCAACAGATCAAAGTTTTTAATGACCAGGTTGAGGAATTCCTGTATAATCAGTCAAAAGTAAACCCATGCAAAAAAGCTATAAGTGGTAATTGAAATTTAATTTGCAAACCCTATGAAGATTTTTCCTGTGTTGGCAAATTTTTAAAAATAGCAAATGGTTTTGCAAAAGATAGTTCCAAGATTGCCCCCAATTTTTATTACCTTCTCTGATATGTATGATGGCCTTGTGCTATGTACATTAGAATGCTTGAGCTGATTCCAGCTACAATGTTTTGAGCTATGGCCACTTTAAAAAGGGGCAAATTTAAAAAAAGCAAAGGCAAAAGCAAAGCCATGGTTTTTTCCAAAAAATGGCTCCAAAATTACCCCAACTTTTTATTACATTAATTTTGCTGATACATATTGTTGTATGTGTACCAGACATGGGGTCAAGCACTAGGAAATGTGCTTAAACACAAACACAAGCACTTATATGTGTTAGAAGTACCAGCACAAGCACAATCCCTAGCTTTAACATTAGTGTTTAAGTACAAGAACAAGCATTCTCCAGAGTGCTTAATTACATTAATAAGTACTAGATATTCAATAAGTGTAAAAATTAAGTAAAATTACAATTATAGTTAATTACTATTGCAACTAATAAACACTAACTCTGTGAATTGTTCATAATAAATAGAAACAGCAGAGAGCTTTGGAGTGATACCACTAAAGGTGATGCCATTACCGTTCTTCAAGTTAACATGCAATCACACAATGTGCTACTAAACTTGTATACTACATGTACATGTACATGTAGTGGAACATGTACATGACATCAACATGTACATGTAGATGTACCATGTAGATGTAGTGGTACATGTACATGTAGTGTACATGTACATGTAGTGGTACGTGTACATGACATCGACATATAGATGTACATGTAGTTGTAGATGTACATGTACATGTATATGCTGTACACTATTCGTGTGTAATTTTTGCTGTGCTTAAAAGCACTTTTGTAAATTTGTAAAAGTAATTAAGTACAAGTACAAAGCACATAGATTATATTGAAAAGGTACTTGTAAGCAGCATTAAGTACTTAGAAAGCTGTGCTTATTTGTGCTTAAGTACAAGCACCAAGTGCTTGACCCCATGCCTGATGTGTACTTATGCTATGTACTTATGTATTATTGGCCTCGCCTAGCTTTGCATAGGCGAAGACTAGTTGCTGCTAGTATTGTTGCTTCCTTTCTCCCTCCCCCTCTCTCTTTCTTTTTATTCAAGACAATAAAGAAGGAGCATTTAGGTCATATGGAGGATAGTAACAGTCTTTTTAGCAAGTTAGGTCAACATGACCTTGTTTCTTTCTCTGATTTCCTATTCTATTAACATTATTAGCCAGTAAGTCATAGACACATAGGTATGTATACATGATATGATCTCCCTCTCTCTCTTCTTCCTCTCTTTCTCCCTTTCTCTTTCTCTTGTTTTGCTCCAATAAAGCACTTTGAGCGAGCTTTAAAATGTTTGACCTCAATGGCAATGGAGAAGTTGAGTTTGATGAATTTGAAATGGTTCAGTCAGTTCTCCTCAGCTCCACAGCAGTGGGAGTGAGAGGACCACATCATCAATAGTACGTATGTTAAGTAGTCTTTTCATTAAACCCACATCCCCCAAAAAATTAAAGTTTGGCCTGATAAAATTGACCTGAATACAATACTATTGTGAATGAGTTTGTAATGGTTTATTGTCTATATTAGGTAATATGGCTTCATCTGTGGAGCATTAGCAATTCATTTCTTTGGTAAGAAACTCAACCAGAAATTGACAATAAAAAGTTTCAAGAAGTCCATGCTCTTCTCAAAACTGAGATATTTCTGATGGAAGTAAGAACATGTTCATGTACATGTACTAGGAATTAATGATCATACATGCACATGCATACAATGTATCCATACCACACGGTATGATATGGTGTATATACATGTACATGGATATGATCCATATCATGTACATGTAAATAGCCATCTACACGATCATGGTCATGTACATGTACATGTACACGATGATTAAAGAAACATGTTTACATGTCACATATGACGGACTATATGTCTTGTGTACATGTAATTATTCTGTATTGTATCATTTCTCAAGAGTACATGTATATACACTGTAGTATCTATATGATCTTGTTCATGGGATGATAAAGTGAAAGAGACTTTGCTGGCATGATCCTGCGTCATGCCTCACTCAGTGAACAAAAGAAGAAGCAAATGGTTGGACCCAAACCTAATCCGGTAAGAAATTTCCACTGTTTTATCAGTAACATTTTAATTAACTAATAGTATTTTATTTAATACAGTGTGCATCTCTGATGGTAAAAACTAGCAAATTTCTTCTGTTTATTTTAGGGTGGTAATTTTGGAGATGTTAAATTCTTTAATCATTTGATGGGTTGTTTCTCTGACATAGATACAGCACTGAGTATGTGCTCTGCAGCTGGAATCTCTATAACACCTGGTATGGTAACTAGCTCCTCCCTCTCTCTCTCTTGCTCTATATTTATTAACTTTCTTTTTTGAAGCTGAGCTCGATGAAGCTTGTAAGGCTGTCACTGGTTCATCTGTCAGTAGTCATGTTGTGGATGTCCTTTCACAATATTTGATGAAAATAGTTAGTTTTAAATCTTAATTTCAAATTTATAGCTTTGTACTAGATTGAATACGCATATTCATGATTATTTCAAATATTTATCATAGTCATTATTACTATTACTATTATTATTAGATGATGGTAAATTAAGTAGAAAGGAGTTTGTACACGCATTAAAATCAAGAAATTTGCGTGGTTTGCAAAAGGTAAGTATATTAGTTTATCTTTAAATGATTCTTCTCTCTTTTAGTCACGTGAATTAGGACTAGCCAAACTAATGAACTCGGTTGTGGCTTGCAAAGCAGTTAAAGACAAATTAGAAAAAAGGATTGAAGCTTGAGTTGGTACTATGATGTAGTCAGTCAAGTCAGGATTATAAACTACTTTATATTATAACAGAAATGTCTTTTAGTTATGGCAGAATAGAATAATTATTATATAATTTATTTTTTATTACACCATTCTGTTTGAGTAGCAACACTAGAGAAGCATTATGATTATATATGTACTTAATTTTATGAATGACTTGACATTTTGAACACACACACACACATGCCCTTACATATTATGTGGGGGCTTGTGCCCAATACAAAATGTGCCAGGAGTACTTTTGATAATGCCAAGAATAATTTTTGTAATCTTTTATGCTCTTTGTCAGATAGTGAAGCCTTCAACTTATCATAAACAAGAAGAAATAGTCCCAATTAATATGCAATATATCATAACTCATTGTATGATAATGAATGTACATTTCTTCCTAGAATTCCAATTTGTACAACTACAAATTGGAATAGTAGTAGACCATTAAGCACAAACCTAAAAATTTTAAAACTACATAGAGCAGATACATGTTGGTGATTGCATGCAATGAATGTGGTTTGTATGGGGCATGTTTTGTAATGTTTCTTAGAATCATTAGATTTGTACAAAGTAATGTTTACATACACATATGTCCTTCCTCCCTTATCTCAAGTTGATCTGTAGTAGTTAAATCATAGTTACATCATAGATAATAGAGTAAATGAAAGGGATTGGAAACGGAAGTGTGGGTGTGGGCAAGCCTTGATTCATTTCATTGTTGCTAAATAAACAGAGGAGCATTGGGATTTTTTGACCGATTTTGGAGTAAAAAACTGGAATTTTCCTGCTTTATTTTTGAATAACTCCAAGAGAATACAATTCATGCAAACAAAACTCACACACAATATTAACCAATGTTATGCTTTTTATTAATATTTTTTGTTCAGTAAATCAATGCATGCGTTAGTAGCCGCGTCACTCTTTAACTAGAAATACCATCTTTTCCCCCTCTGAGAGACTCATTTTGTTCTTGAGCTACGAATAAATATAACCATTTTAAAGAGCTTGAAATCTCCTATGGAATGAGCTAACTTGCATATTAATACAATGAAGCTTGAGTGTTTTACGAACGATAAAGTGTTTCAAAAACAGGCGACTTTGTGTACCTTTAACTGGTTGAAAAATGGCTTTTTGGAGATAAAAACCTTGCTGCAGGTAGCTCTAAAAATTCTATATGGAAAGCAAGTGCTATCCTGGAGCAGCACAAATTTCCTTTGAAATCCTGCCAGAGCAACTTCCAGGGGCGTAGCTGGGAAGGAAATGATGAGGAGGCCTGAAGATAAATGGCGCGCGAAGCGCGCCGAAAATTTGGCCACACCCCTTTTTAGCGTTCGTATAGTGCACTAAAACAGCATTTTGCGTATTTTAAAAGCATCAAAATCTTACATTTTCAGCAATGATTATTATAAAATGAGTGTTTTGCTTCTGTCCACTTCTTATTTCTTGACATTTGCTGCTGTGCAATGTATTGTAAATGATTACAAGGTGGTTAATTTTTATCACTAGGTGGTAAGTAATAAAACAAACAATGAATATCATTATCTACAACAATTGATGGGGGGGCCCAGGCCCCTGTAGGCCCCCCCTCAGATACGCCCCTGGCAACTTCACCAATGGAGGAGATGGGAAATCAATCAAAACACTGATTGTTGTCACGTGGTGAACCAACCCGCATTTCCTGTTGCTACGCCCCATTGCCAATCCCTTTCATTTACTCTAATATCTATGGTTACGTGCTATTTTATTATCAGTTCATCCATAAGATAGTAAATTTACTGAGTATTTATGATTCACCTGACAACAGATTACAGATCCAAAACATCACAATGTTCAAGTGAAGTAGTGAATTAGTGATGGCCAATACTTTACAATGCCCCTGCAAGTAGGTCCCAGAAGAGGACCGATATAACTAGAAGACAGGAGCACTCTAGCTTTAATATATGTACCAGAAATTAGTTCAAAATGACAGCAAGTTGACTGACTTTAAAAGAATTAGTGACATTAAATTTCATCTACAAAATGAGTTTAGCCAATACCTGTCATTCCTATGACTACTCTACAGTGTAATTATAGATTTCCATATTTGGAGAGTTTGAGCTATTATAAGAGCTAATGTTGCATCAGCAAGTGGTACACAATAACTGTTAGTAAAAGTAAGAGTATGTCTCTCCTGTTAGTGGTTGCTCTCTTATTCTTCAGTAGCTCCTGCAGTGTCTCCTCTCATCAGTATTATGTTTCTGATGACTGCAGTTCAGTTACTCATACACCTTGTAATCCTTTATCAGTGTATGCTGAGGATATATCTCAATATAATAACATCATCTTCTACTTCATTGGAACCAGTGACATTAATACTGATGTTAACTTGACTGCAGTAAGGAATGTTACTCTACATGGACTGGATCAGTCTTGCCTTGTTAGTAGCAGGAGCCATAGAAGGTCTATTCACATTCATAATAGCAATCATGTTGTTTTTTCTAACATGTCAGTATATAATGTTGGAGTAATGGCTAGATCATCCAACAATATTACCATAACTAACTCTTTATTTATTGGAACAACAGCTTTAAAAAAGACACCATTTTCTATAGAATTAAACAATGTTTTTGACATTAAGGTATCATCCTCAGTTTTCAATCGTTATGATGTACTCATTTAGTACAAGCCTCCACCAGTATGTAGCACTGAACTACCTCATTACTCACTAATACTGAATAATGTTACATCATTGCACTTTGGCCTATATATTCATCATGGTACCTCATACAATCTATCAGTCATCTTTGATCATTATTGTATAACTCATTCTCAATTTATTTTGCAATTTGGTAATAGTCTTTTTTCTTTTTATATTAAAAACTCATCATTTCAATCAGGAATTAATGATCTTTTTATCTTTCATATTATTTTTAATGCAGAACTGAACCCAAAGAAGTGCCAATTTCCTCATATTCAATTAATTTCTTCTTTTGTAATTGAGGATAGTCAATTTCGTGATAATTGGTATGGAATTAGAATAGCTGAAGTTCCATGCTTACTTAGAAAACTCAGCAATCACATTATCAGTATTATTATGAAGTCGTGTTTGATAGCTGACAACAGAATTACAGGCTTACATATTAATATTCATGAAAAATTTTTGGTATCAATCCAAATCAATATAATAGATACTCAATTTATTGGCAATAAAGCAATTATGATATTAAACAGTAATGCTATTAGTCTCAGTAATGTTACTGTTGCTAACAGTACCTCAACAGGATTGTTACTTAGCTTATCAATGGTAACAATTGAGAATAAATTAACATTCAAACACAATACTGGAGTAGTTGGAGGAGGATTAGCAATGAATGACTCATCACAATTGATATTAACATCATCAGCTAACTTGGAGTTTATTGATAATCATGCTTCTTATAAAGGTGGAGGGATTTATGTTGAACAGTCATCAGATAGTGATATAAGATTAATAGCACCAAAGATACCTCTTACATTGATAAATAATAGTGCTGCACTTGGTGATGATATATATGGATACACTGATCATCAAAGCAAACATTTTAACTTGACAAATCAAAACATTAGTTCAACAGGTGATGCATGGAAAATACAATTCTGCAATTTGACTAATTTAAGAAATGCAATTGAGAAACAGATTTATCCAGGTCAAGCACTAAAGTTTCATGTAGCTTTGTTGGGTCATGGTTACTTTGGAACACTAAATGTCACTGATGGTATAGTGGAAATACGTGATGGACTGAGTATAAGGAGTGCTCATGCAGTTGATCATGTATATGTTAGACCTAAACCTAATTCTAATTGTTCACTGATTGAATACAAACCAAACCATGCTCCCAGTCATCTAATACATGCCTTGGTATTTGCTATTAAACCACCCCATTACATTTATTGGGATTATATTATTAATGAATGTCCCATTGGTTTTAGTATAGATAGTTCACAAGGTATCTGTGCTTGCAGTCAAAGTGTTTCAAGAGAGAATGTGACGTGTAATATAACTAGTCTAAATATCACACACAATGGTCTACTGTGGATTGGAACATATGATACCAGTACACCTTTCAATGCTAATGCAACCAATCCTAATGCATGTATTATCAATGAGGACTGTCTCCTCTATTGTTCTCCTAATCCTGTTACCTTCAAGTTGAATGACACTGATACTCAATGTGTGGATGATAGAAGACAGAGAATGTGTGGATCATGTAGAGAGGGATACAGTCTACTAATAGGATCAAACAAGTGTGGACAGTGCCATGATAATTACATGATGATAGCTTGGATTGCTCTATTTGCAGTGATGGGTGTACTACTTGTGGTTCTACTCATTGCTCTCAATTTAACAGTATCAGTGGGTACACTCAATAGTCTATTGTTCTATGCTAACATTGTCAAGTTGTATGAGCCAGTCTTTTCAAGGAAAGGAGCATTACCAGTTTTGAGTCAAGTGATATCATGGATTAACTTAGACTTTGGGTTTGAGATATGTTTTTACAATGGTATGGACAATTATGCTAAACAATGGCTCCAGTTTGCTTTCCCTCTCTACCTGTGGATCATTATCATTATCATCATACAATTGTGTAGGAGATATGGTAAAATATCAAGACTGATGGGGTCTCATGCTGTTCCTGTTTTATCTACTCTCTTCCTTCTCTCATATACTAAACTAGTACGTACTATTGTTATTGTACTACACAAGCGTGAGGTAACTCTTCACTGTACAAATGAGTCAGTAAGATCAGTTAGTTTATGGTATGAGGATCCTAATGTTGAATATGCTAAAGGGAAGCATGCTGGACTATTTGGATTTGCCCTATTGGTGACTGTTTTTTTGTCATACCATACACACTGTTCCTACTACTTAATTGTTTTCACGAGAAGTATCTTTCAAATTTTAGATTTTTTAGAAAATTTTGGAGCCATTTCAAGCCTATTATTGATGCTTATAGTGGTCCAATGAAAGATGAGTATCGGTTCTGGCCTGGTCTACTGCTAGTGGCTAGGATACCAGTACTCTTATCAGTTACTTTAGTTGAAAGTTTCATTCAGTCACAGTACTTCCTATTGTCAATGCTATTGACAGTGTTAGCCATTGTGCAATCATTGAGTCACTTTTTTGGTGGAGTTTACAAGAAAAGAATGAACAATGTGCTTGAAGTTTGGCTCTTATTAAATTTGTGCATCATGATTTCTTTATCTGTAACTTTTACTGATGAGAGTAAAGTATTGATTTGGTACAATACTTGTTTATCTGTTTTTATTTTTAGTTTTAGTTTGATTGTTGTTTATCATCTTCACCTGCAGTTATCACATATGAAATGTTATGATGCTCTAATTAAGAAGTTATTCAAGAAACAAGATGACGATGATGATCCTCTTTTAGATGTAACTGAATCACATCTAACTGTTGATCAACAAAGAAGAGCCATGGTACCAAGTTCTACTGATTATGTCAGACGAGAATCAGTTGTTGATTTATTTTAATTTCAAGGTTTTTTTGCTGTCCACTTTTAATTACTCATGCTATTGTTATTTCTGTTAGCTATATTTTTAGTCTTAGAAATTATGATGCATTCCTCAGCATTATACATAGAGTTTTCAGTGTGATAAAAAAATTCTTTTTCTCTAATAAATGTTCATAAAATTTCACTTTCTACAACAAAATAAAATTATAATTTATGCGAGATTTAGATCTAGGCTATATATCTACATGTATATAAATTCATAACTAGTAAATCAAAAACATACCTATATACCTGCCTACTGAAGTTTAAGCTGCCTCACTCCCACTCATTGACATACATTCCTTTAGACTAATTACAGATCTAATTGCTCGAGTTCTGAGAGAGAAGGAGGCTAGACTGTATTGCTCTCTGTCACAATCTACTTTACAATGTTCAAATATTTGATCATATTCTTGGAGTTCATTCGACTAATTGGTTAATATCAAGCAATAATAATCTCTCTCTATTCTAGATCAATTCCTCATATTCTTTTAGTTGCTCCTGGTCATGCATGGTCTAATACCAACATTCAGTTTTGAAGCAGCAATACTGTCTGTCTCTAAGGGAGACAATTCTGTTAAGGTTTGTGTTTCTGCTACTGACAGAACTCTCCACCTTATGTGCTGAATGTATTAACCAATGGAGAAGCAGGTTATGCTAGCTAAGCCTAAAGGCTCTAATGTACATTGTATACTCTCTCTCTCTATGACTTATAATAATCAGTAATGATATTAATTCTTTCCTAGCTCTACATTCCGACTATGTAGTCCTTGATCCAAAATCACTCCCAATTTCTATTACTTTTTTGATGCATATTATACAAAGACTATGTACAAAGTTTGAGCTGTTTCCAATCAAAATTAAATTTTTTGATCAATATTCAGAGTTGCTAAACTATTATAGTACAAGGTATTCCATGAAATACTTTCTTAAAAATTTATTACAACAAACCAAAGATTACAAATCCCTAGAAGTTGAGAAGTATCTCCTGAAGATTGTGCATTAACATAACCACACATTCACTGAGTTTTATTTTAACAGTTAGTGCAAGTGGTCACTAGCATAACTCTTGTAAGTTAATACAAATTATTAATGATGATAATCTGGCACTGAATAATTCTAGTTAGGAGGAGATAAATTTTGGTGAATTTGGCATTTTGTTAGCTGTTCAGCAAATTAAAACCTGCCTTTTTGAGCCTTTATCCACATTTTAATGGTACATGGCAACGAATTTGCCCACTCAAAACCTGATAATTATCAAAATTTTAGAAATTTGTCAAAATTTGTCTCTTTTAAAAATTACCCGCTATACAGTATTTGCCACAATATAACTGGCTGTTTTGATGCATGCTCAATGAATGATTTACATGTAGATGTATGACCTTGTTGAAATATCAGTCATTCCCATCTGTTATCAAGCGTTAGAGCTCTTTTGTAATTGAAAGATTGGAACAGTTGCTCAGCATCAGTTTTAAGAAATTTACTGTGTACTTTCTATTGATTTTAATTTTTATATTATAACAGGAAGATCAATTGACTACACTAATACTTAGTGATTGCTGCCATACAATGAAACAAATGGTTAGTTCTATAGTGATAAAAATAATAGTAATAATGTTTCAATAATAATAATTATAAGTGTTGACAAAAGTGATGAAAATTTTAAAATGTACATGTACATGTACATGTATAGTTTTATTGTGATCAAAAGTCATGTTCTACTTGTGGGACTGTTTCTGAAAATCTTTAAAAATGTTAAAAATGTAAAAAGTAAGAAAGCTTTTACTATTGTATGTCTTTTGTCTATAGCAACTCTCACTTTGTGGTTTTTTATTTTTCATCCTCCCTTTTCTCTTTTTCTCCTTTTTTAAGTATTGGTAAATTTGCAATGTTGAGCATCAAAGGTTATCATGGACTCCTGGCAATGAAATTGTATAAAATCTGGTCTGGACAAAATCAAAGTAACATTTGTGATTTTAGATATTAATGTAAGCATGGAAAATTTTTTTGCATTTTACAATTTTGTTTTGCACAAGTTATGTATGTAGTTACAATCTACCACTGATCATAGTATCAAGAGTAGATATACTAGCTATCTACATGTACTCTTGATAGTATATATGAATGACAATGTCCAAGTATGGGTTATAGTTGCTTTTGTGGGTTCACTTATTCACAGCTGTAAAAATAACAGGGAAACTCTGTGTAATATGTGACTATTAATATGCCACAATCAAAGGTCATAAGTCATAACTTCAGTTGCAACAAAAATGAGAGTCATGAAAGATTGCTCTCTCCTTCTTTTAACTGTATTAGTTCTTCAAGTCATTCCTGTACTGACATTAAGCAGCAGCAGGTCAGACTCAACCTTATCTCTTTCCCTAGCTCCTTCACCCTCTCCTTTCATGAGCAGTGAAAATATACCAGCCACTTCTCCTACAAATGAGGCTACTAGTGATACTCCATCTTCACGTGGTACAATAGCAACAATTGCTGCAGTTCTTACAATTATAAGTGGTGTCATATTTTTGTTGCTTGATATCCTTTGTCTTTGGTTGTATTGTCAGAAGAAGAGAGAAAGATGCTAACAAGGATGATTAATAATTGACATTGTACTATTAAAATAGGTCTCTATTCCGTACTTTTAACTTCAGAATTATTATTATTACTATATTATTCTAATTAGGATGAGCTTGAGCAAGCCTCAAAGCATCTTGTGTGTCTGTTTGTTGATAGGCTTGTCTGCTATTTTTAGTATTCTAAATTTTTTTAAATAAATAATTGTTAAATATAGGACAACTAATTGTTTGTGTAATTATGAAAAGACACTTCCAAATCCATTTTATCAGCAATTTCTTTAAAAGCTTCTTTTCCTTTTAATATTTCAATTAAAGTAATTATTGCCTGAGGCTTTGTAGTAATTGTACATTTAAGAGCAAACAGCAGTGAAGCACATCTATCAAGTATTGGTCTGCCAGCATTCATTGACTCAGTGTAAGTCTCATCAGTAATCAGCTTTTTACTGTATAAGCTTGTAATGATAGCCAAAAGATTACTTGGAGCTGCCAGGATTTCAGAAAGTGTATCCAAGTGATCTCGTAGAACCTCTGCAGCTGGTTTGAGCTGCCTTTCAGCTACTATAATGTTATAAATTATTATACTACTATAGTGACTATATAATTAAAATATACCTGGTGAAATTGACCCTGATGGTGATGCAATAGTTCCAGCAGGTTTTTGCTGAAAGTCACCTAAATATAGATCTAACTTAATAAACTAACTCACAATAATACTAACCCATTGTTAATACAACGTTTATTTCCTCAGTGTCAGATTTTATTCCTTGCATTGTGATGGGATAACTTAATTCTTTAACTGCATCTTCATCAGGAGTGGCTGTGATTGTGAATACACATTTTGGAAATCGAGGAGGAGACATGCTGCCATATTTATCAATAAGATTTTGGCTTACCTATATTGTAATCATTATAATTACATCATTTTACATGTCACTATTAATTTAAGTCCTGACTTTTGAAGGTTTTTGATGAGGTCTCACTGACCATCCTTTAGGACATTTTCTATCATCAAGTTGCAACTCAATGCATCCATCATGGCAATTTTCAAACTCAAAAGCTATTTCCATATTTTCTTCAAAGCTCTTGAATACCTTTTTAATATGCTGTTTTAATCAAAAATTAAATGTATACTGAGAACATAGAACTTATTATACCTCTACTAGTGCATTTAGATCTTGACAAAGTAGAAATCTCATCAACCATTCTCTTCCTGTTTTTCTAACCTCATATATTACTTGACCAAAGTAAAGCTTAACAGGTGACTCATCTACAATTTATACAATAATATTACCAAGGACTCCATACATTTTTACCTTCTAATATCTCAACTGGTATTTGTATCATCAACTGATTTTGTTCTGATGCATCAATTGTTCTGCTTGAAGATAAAGGAATTTTCTCAAGTGGTTCTTCAATATTAGGAAAAGATTCTTCAACATTAGTTGAAGACTGTGATGATGATGAAACTGAGAGAGATTTATGCTCTTTTTTATGTGATAAATTTTCTGTGCGATATGGATGCATACGTGTTCTTCTCCTGCGTTTCATGACAACAGACCACTTAGAAAACTTAGCAATACTTATGCTACCATATCTGTTGCCAATAGAAAATTCTCCGCCATCTACTGTATTAAACTGGAAAGGTGGCTGATTATTAGTTGCAGTAGAAAAACTAAGGTAGTTGCTATGAGCTGGTGTTGTTATGGAGACACAATGCTGTACCTCAAGTTTAACAGGTTCAAGAAAAGGCTTGGAGAGGCTTATGGCATATACTGCACTAATAAGCTCAGTATCTTCAGGAAATACAAAATCTCCTCCTACTAGAGCATTGATAGTTATCTGTACAGTTTCAGAGGGTAGCACTGCTCCTTGTGGTATTGTTATCCTTATACCATATTCCTCCCAGTTAACTGACAGTGACTGGTTAGATCCACTTTGAATAAGAAATGATTTTTTATCAGCAACGTGTACGCCTTTAAGTTCATCTAAATCAAACATAATGACACAAGAATTAAAAATTACATGCATAAATTATGCTGATTTAATACCTCCTGTCTCGGGTAAACTTTCAGAAGTTTTTTCATTGCATTGCTCTACCTTCTGTTTTGATGGCATCATAGGTACTTGCTCCTTCTGTTCATCAAATATTACTGCAAAAAGGAAATTAAAATTATCAATAATAAAAAATTTTAAGTACATACTTTGTGAGGAATGAAGTAATCTGATTTCCTGAATTTTCTCTTTAGCTCTCTCCTTTTCAATCATACATTTATCGTTCCCTTGTATTTGATGTTTATATTGTTGTATTTGCTGCAGTAATTGTTGAATTTCTTTATCTTTTTCTCTTTGTTCCTTACATATCAGCTGATTAAGAATTTGTATCTCTTTTTCTTTATCTTCCAACTCCTTCTTCATCTTTTGCAACTTGTGATCATAATTTTGTAATTTTTGCTTCATTTTCGCCTCGTTTTCTTGTAGCTGAAGTTGATGATACTTTTTGTTCTCTGAAAGTTCCTTGTCTTTCACCTGTAACTGTTGAATATATTTCTTTTCATTTTCTTTTAGTTGAAGGTGACATTGCTCCTTCTCTGCTTCTTCTTTTTTCAAATGTTTTCGGTATTTTTCAATTTCTGTTTCTTTTTCTGACAACTGTAGAGAATGCTTTTGTTTTGTCTCGGTCTTATCTTTCTCAGTTTTTTGCAATTTTTGGTGATATTTTTGTTTTTCTTTCTCTTTCTCTAAGCTCTCTTGCTCTTTTTCTTGTAATTGCTGATGGTATAGTTGTTGCATTTTTTGCTTTGAAATTGCATCAGCCTTCTCCTTCTCTTGTAACTGATATTGGTACTTTTGTATTTCTTGATAGCATCTTTGAATTTCTAGATCTTTCTCAGCCTCGCTTACTTGCACTTGTTCCAACTGATGGCAGTACTCTTGTATTTCTTGATTTCTTTCTTGTAGCTGATTAAAATAATTAAGTATTTCTGCCTCCTTTTGTTGTAGCTGTTGAAGATATTCTTGAATTTTTAGTGCCTCCATTTTTTCTTTTTCCAACAACTGGTAATGATAATTTTGTATTTCTAGATCTTTTGCTGCCTTCTCTCTCTCTAGCTTTTCCTGTAATTGAAAACAGATTTTTTGTATTTCTCGCTCCTTCTGTGCTTTATTTTCCTGCAATTGATGATGATATATTAGCTCTTTTTCTTGTAGTTGAAAACTCCGTTCTGCCTCCTTCTTTTCCAATTCTATTAACAACTGCTGCCTATGATCTTGCTCTTTCCTTAATTGTTGCTTAATAGCTTGTGTCTCTAGCTCTTGTTCTTTTAGCAATGTTTTATATTCTGTAAGTTGGTGCCCTTGCCATTCTTGTGCTGAGCTGGGTAATACTTGCACTAATTTCTCTTTTTGTTTCTGGTGCTCCAGCCAATGGGTTCTTCCTAGTTGCAGTTGCTGATAATACGTACTCTGGTACTGCTGATTATTTGATAGTGGTATATTTTGTACTATAATTTTTTCATTATTGACAACTATAAAAATAAAAGGGGGAATTTATAATGAAGAATGCAATAATAGCTTGTTTCACCATGCTAGTAATAATGCAAGATACAGGTACACTGTATAGACTACTTAGATAAAACATTGCAAAACTTAATACCAGTACATACTTAGACTTTTTATCACTGTTATGTATGGAGATGGAACCAGCTCATCAGTAGTAACTTCTCTTTTAGAAACAGATGCTCCTCCAACAGTTATGATCCAGAAACAACGAGGACTCAAAGTGAATACTGAAAGGGAATGAGCCCATCTCTTACTAAATGAGTGATGTATACCTAACTGTTAATAGAAATAATCATAAAAGAATTAATACCATTTTGTGTCTAATGTTGAGACTGATCAATCACAACTTCCGTTCAATATTAAAAATTCATACTTTTGTCCAAGTTGTCCAGGTGCGTTGAGTAGTATTAAAGATCCAGCAGTCATCTAGCATGTCATTATTATTATTCATCCCACCACATATCACCAGCATAGGGTAGAGTAATTCAGTTACAATAATAGCACTTGCATGATTAAATCTACCCACAGGCCATTGGTCAATTGCTTCAGGTTTCTTTATATACTGCCATGACTAAGAAATTAATGATTAGCAATTAAAAATAATTTATTTGAACATACCACAGTGCTGAGCGATAAGTCTATGTTTAATAAATACATATTAGCAGTAGCCTCAGTCTTATCATCTTGTACAATTCCGCCAAAAAGAATAGCTCTTGTGCTGCTGATCTTCTCAATGATAAAACCATCAGCAGGAGGTATGCATTCACCAATGATTAATATATTGCCCCATTTTCCTGCATAATAATGAAAGACATATGGCCCATTAAAGGATGTACATTTACATAAACATCGCACTGAATAGCTTAATCAACAGTCAATCAAAACGATGGATCTACATAATCATCAATTAATATTACTAACCTGATGATAAATTATACATTGAGTGCTCATTAGTACGCCATCTTCCACTATGTAGCTTGGACTCAATATATTTATAGTCAGGTAGTTGTACAGCTGGTTTAGATCCTATTCCTCCTATCATTAATAAATAGTGTTCTCTGTCGTGTTCAAACGATAACATCCCCCCACAGCCTCTCCTCATAACTGGTCTAGTTGCATCTGTTAACTTTAACTCTCTCCATCGAAGACTAATGGTATCCAGTTGTGTAATACTGTTGTGAAAGCAGTTGTCATGATTGCAATAGCCACCAAAATAATACAAATAGTCATTTATTGCAGCACAGTAGTAACCAGTGACTCCTAATGGAGAAGTACCAGTAGTTTCTCTAGCAAACCATTGACCAGATGAGGCAGTAAAGTGTTGTATAGTATTAGTAAATTTCCTCTTCTCTATACTGTCATGTACTTTAGGCAAACCAGCTTGATCACCAGCCCACACAAATAATGAATCACCTACAGTTGCAGCACTATGAAAAAATCTTGCTTCTAATCCAGGGTAATCTATTAATGATTGCACACATTGGTTAACAAAATTGTTAGGAACTTTGAATACCTAGTTTTGGTTGCTGTTTTGCCATGATGTAACGCAATCACGTTCACGCACATTCCTTTGTTGGGCGTTGCCCCATTTATGGCCAATTAAAATGGGCTGCAATGATGTAATGAATAATATAATTGATCTACACAGCTACAGAGCCAATAGTAAAATCATGCCTGAATCAGCAAAATTACCCAAAATGAACGAATCGAAATCTATCATTGCTGATCATGCCTGATACTCTGGCCTGAATCAATGCAAAACCATTTCATGACTGAATTGCAGCTGATTTCATGATTATATCGTGAGTAATTGCCCAAAATGCATGATTCAATACTGACTTAATGCATGGATACTATCCATGCTTCACGACTGACTCAGGCTAGGCATCAATCCTAATTCAGATTTTGACTATAATTTCAGTATAATTATAATTTATTGCCTGTGTATGTGGGTGTGGTGACTCCTCCTAACAAGATGTCGGAAGTGAGCCTGGGACAATCACAATTATTTCGATTCACTAATAAAAATTATTAGGTTTCTTTGTTTGATCCTGTTAGAAATGGACTGGATAAGAACTTTAGGCTCACTAATTGTACCAAAGTAATGAGTTTTTTTTATATTTATACATTTTTATTGGACTCTTTATCATAGTTGAAAGGATGAGGTTGTAAAGTCCCTCAAGAGGATCTCATGAAACTCTTGGAAGGTATCAAATGGCCTGGCTAATAGCTAATGATTTTAAATTTTGCCAATATGCTAAATTTTTGTTGGTGGACATGCATAAATTTGTGGCCACGTCTCATTAAGAAAGCACATAATTGTTCCAAATGTTCTCTTATTATTAAAATGTCATGTTTGACTACAATTTTCTCCTTCCAAAATTACCAGCTATAAGTTCGTCAATATTTTACACAGTCTATATGTATAACTATAGTCGGCAAATGTTTTTTATTAGGACTAGGTCAACCTGATGGAGAGGGAATGGGTATTGGTTTAGACAGTTGTGTCATGAAGACCAAGATAAAAGGAGTGTTTCTTATTCAAACTACTGACTTGTATCCTCTCCATTTCTTAAATAGATTATTTGAATTTTGTCATATTTGTGTGAGCTTTTTGATTATGCTCACTATTTATTGTAGAGTTACAGACCACATGTGATATTTTGAGCCATTTGTAAACCCTTGATCATTACTCATTTGTGATTTTAAAATTTTTTATGTTTAGCACATTTGCATGGCTAATATTTGTACTGTATTATTGTACATGTACATGTACATGTACACAATCTATTTTAAAACCACTTAACTTTCTTTAGCTTTTATCCTTTGGTTAATGATCCATATATGCAGGTAAATTTTTATATTATAAAGTTACCTGGTACCTGGTTAACTGCATAATTTTTCTGCAGGGGAAAATTGCTTGTGCTAATGTATTGAGTGACCTTTATGCTATGGGAGTCGAACATTGTGACAATATGCTAATGCTGTTAGGTGTTAGTAGTCAACTATCAAAAAAGGAGAAAGATGTTGTGACACCACTGATTATTAAAGGATTTAATGGTAAACTGTATGAATGAATGGTATATTACACTCACTTTATTTCATGCATGTATGTGTACTTTTAGATTTATGCATTGAAGCAGGCACAAGTTGTAATGGAGGTCAGACTGTTATTAATCCATGGTTTATTATTGGTGGAGTAGCATCTGCTGTTACCATGAAAGAAAAGTTTATAATGTAAGTGTTGACCTTGTCCAATTGTGTGAATGATATTTCCATTTCAGGCCTGATCAAGCAATTGCTGGTGATGTGCTTGTTCTGACTAAACCATTAGGAACTCAGATTGCTGTAAATGCTCATCAGTGGATAGAAACAGTATGTGATATACTTTATAATTTGTGTGCTCATGTACATGTATTATAGCAACAGTGGGAAGAATTTGAAAGTCTTGTTACCAAAGAACAAAGTAATGAATAAGAATATGCTACTTGTACGCTTAATTTATTTTAATTTTAGTCAAATCAGCTTACCTTGCGGCTATGTACTCAATGGCTAGATTAAATAAAACTGGAGCAAAATTGATGCACAAGTATGGTAGGTTTTGATGGCCACTAATTGGCATAAGTAATAATTATTAATTATTTGCAATTTTGGGAAATTTGTACATTGTATGTTGCAAATTTTACAGCATACACGTATACATGTACATTGTGTGTTTGTGTTTTTGTGCCATGTACATGCCTATGAATATTGAATTTGATAGTGACTATGTGCACATTAAATACCCTCTATTTGGATTTTTTTACTATGATTTTAATGTTATTGGATGAGAATTTTGCAAAAAAATTAGATCTCATTTATAATTATGTCACATTCAATAATACATGACACAGTCTTGTTGCCTAAAAATTAAATCACAGCAAAATTTTAAAACACAAATTTTTTACCGCATAAATTTCCTGATTTATTGTAGTTTGTTGTATGTACATCGTGCATGTAACATTGAATCGGATCATACTTTTACTTTTTACAATAGGAGCTCATGGTGCTACTGATGTAACTGGATTTGGAATTTTAGGCCACATTCAGAATTTAGCTCGTGCACAGAAGGAGTCCGTTTCATTTGTTATTCATTCTCTTCCAAGTAAGTTAAATGTGGGGCATAACTACAGAATTAATTGGCACTCATAGTTAAACAAAATCAAACCACTAACAAAATACATGTCTATTAGGCTTGAGTTTTTTACTAATACTATAATTACATTATATTTTTGTGAGACAAGGGCACAATAGAATGATAGTGAAATAATAGGTTAAATGAATTGTTAGTTCAGTGCAATCAATGTAAGGCATAGTTTTCTACAAAACATGCTAACTTGTTTGCTAAGTTCATGAGCCAAACATCATGCTTCATGAGCTGACGAACACTATGATAATACTTATTTATATCCTGCCTAAGCCAAACTTCAAAGACGCCACAGTGCTGATAAATTCATTTGATGTTTGATATAAGCACTGCTGTGGTTAACAGTCAATATAACAAAGAAATATACTTTAAAATAATAAAATATAGTGATTTGAAAAAAGAACAATAAAAATAAACTTGTCACTCAACAGAAGAAGGGCTTCAGTAAGTACATGTAAGTATAATGGAGATATGACAATAGTGCTGGTCGTTTTGCTACAACTACCGACGCAGAGTTGGAATCATTGAGCGTCTATAAGATGCCAGATAATTTGGCCAGAAGCAGCGTTAATACTCCTAGGGGTCTTCTTTGAGCTGTCACTACTGTGGAAAGTACTATTATGTTTCGTTTCAATGTCTTATCCTTATCAAAGCAGCCATCTCCTTACCTCCTTCATATCCCATGGGGTCTGGTAAGTAGCACATGGCACCTGTGCATGCGCAGTATGTGAAGTTTGGCTTAGGCAGGGACATAAATTTGTTATAATACCCCTACAAGGGATATATCACATTTATTTGCATCTCGCCCTCGGGCTCAGTGCTGATAAATGTGATATACATGTATCCCTCGCAGGGGTGTTATAACATGTACATGGCTTTTTCAGCAATTTTTAAAATTTTAATGAGAATCAGCTCAAATTTTCTACTCAATATAAGTGTATATGCATCAGAAAAAAAATATAGAGTTAAAAAATTCTCTTCTTTTCATTTTTTGAAAAATTTGGCCAAAGACTGTATAGTATGTATTCTATGGCCCAATTTTGAGCAACTCTAATAACTCAAAAATCTAGTTTTGATTGGAATCAGCTGCTTAAGTTATCTATACAACATATGAACATAAGTACATGTATGCTTATTTCTAGTGATTTTTATACCCTGTACTATAGCGTTCCAAATATTTGTGCAATTTTTGATATCATTGACAAGAGCACTATGCTAGAATTTTATGAGAAACCCTGAGGCTTGAGTAGCCTACACTCATTCACCCACATCTGCATTCATGAATCTGATTGCATTTAAAAGCATATATGCATGTACATGTATGTTTTTGGATTTGTATATTTACTTTAGTATTGGATCATATGGATGTGGTTGCCTCGAAAGCTGCAGATAATGGTCTGAACTTCAAACTAAGAGAAGGATTCTCAGCAGAAACATCAGGTAAAGCTCTAGAATGGGGCGTTTATAAGATATCATTAAATTTAAAAAATCCATGATTACCCAGTATAGAGGGAGAAAATAGTGTTCAAATGCACTATTTCCTTCCTACATAATGGTGTGACTAGGCACTATTATACACATTATACAATTTGACCTATTTATGTAGGCAGAAATTAGTGCCGAGCACTATCTTGTCCCTACAATACTATAGGGAAGAATTAGTGCCTGCTGCGCTATTTTGTCCCTACAATACTATAGGGAAGAATTAGTGCCTTATGCACTGTTTTGTCCCAATTAAAAGTACCGTACGGGTATAAAATTTCGTGTGGTATTAAATTTTGTGGATTTTGTGGGTGAGTTCTCAACCACGAAAATTAATACCGTACGGTTGGTAAATTTCGTGGGGTATCAATTTTCGTTAATTTCGTGGTTAATTTTTATCCACGAAATTTTAACCCCTACCCACCCACACATAAAAACTAATTAATGGGCCATGCAGAGCTCTAACTACCATTTCCAAGCTAGTGGAGGAGCCAAAGTCTTTGTCTATTACTCCATATTCCACTATAAGCCATGTGTTGGAAGCTAGCCCAGTATATCTAAGTGAAAAGAAGTTTGCTAACTGCCATCCACGAATATTTGTACCCACGAATATTAGCTTCTAAGGACATTTTGGAGAAAACATGAAATTTTGGACCCTTGAATATTACCAACCGTACGGTACCATGGAAATGCTCACTATGCATGCGTAGCACATGAAAATCAATGACTTAATGCAAGTGCACGTGCAAAAACGCGAAATTTAACACCCTCAAAATTAAAGAATTAAGAGCTTTTCACTAAAACACGAAATTTTATACCCACATGGTATATCATTGGGGGGGGGGGTGGCAAAATAGTGCAGCAGGCACTAATTTTTTCTTGTAGTATTCTATGGAAGAATTTGTGCTTGCTGCACTTTTTTGTCCCTATTATACTACATGGAAGAATTAGTGCCTGCTGCACTATTTTACCCTTATTTTATTTGGGAGAATTTATTTGTAAAACAAAAAAATGTTATTAACATAATTACACAATAATGTGTATAGTAGTGCTTAGTCACACCATTATGTAGGAAGGAAATAGTGCATTTGAACACTATTTTCTCCCTCTATAATCATGTATTTTTTATTATTTAATGACATACTCTATGGATCCTCTAGAATGTAGATAAATATTGCTGCTAATTACTTAATAGGTGGTCTAGTCGTTATACTTTCAAAAGATAAAGCTGAATTGTTTTGTAAAGAAATTGAAGTAAACCAGATTTTCTATTTGTTGCTCTAAACCATACATCTATCATTAGGAAATTGATAAAGTCCCAGCATGGATTATTGGAGATGTTGTACCTGGCAGTAGAGAAGCCTCCATTTCACCAGATATGAAAGTTATCAATGTACTGCACAATAACACTCTCTAAAGTTTGTAATGAAGCTTTATTACATGTATGTCTCTTGTACATGTGCTTTGATGTGAAGTTTTGTGGCTAAATCAATCACACTGGTGCTGCAAAACAGATGTTTCAGCAAAGCTACATGTATAAGACTAAATATTTTATTGAATCTTGTTGTTAACTATCATGCTTATCAGTTTTGTTTTTAATATAATAATTATTCTCAAATTATGTGCTGTACTGACTCATCAATTAAATCTAAATTTAAACCATAGAGAAGATTTTACCCCAAGCCTAGATCTAGTCAGACTTTGACACATTGAAGCAACTATGTACTCTGTAACGTCACATAACTCTGGATTATGATCATACACAGGGCCAGAAGCATATCCAGGCTCTGTAGAATCATCACACAACCCTTCGTTAAGGATGCCATTACTGGCAGATTCTATGGTATTTAAATACACTAGAGACTCTGTGGTATCAAGCTGAGAACCATACTTAACTTGGGTTTATGCCTAGACCATTTTTCTTTCATTAGCTTTCTGAGCTTCTTAGCTGATGTTTTATATACCTTTTAAGTTAGGCATCAATAATAATTAATAGTTTTATAGTAGTATAGTAATAATAATAATATTATCATTATTTTGGCAAATTTATAATTCCTTTCACCAGTGTTGTAAATTGTACATGCTAAAATAATATTAGACTAATTTTCTAGCCCAACATGCCATAAGTATGGCGACTGGAATTATGAAGTTGCTAAAAGTTAATAAGAAATTATTTAAGTCCAATTATTAGAGTCCAATTACACCTAACAATAGCTCCTTCACCACTTCAATATAATGTAGCTGCTATTGATGTTGCATAAATAGACATTATCATCACGAGCCAATACCATATGAACTGTAATTTTTAAACATTCATGAACATGCAATTTTAAAAAGAATACATGTAGAATTTAAATTGCCACTGAGTTGACTCCAACTGAAATTAAATTTTTACAAATAAAAATCAACAATAATAATGCATAGATATACATGTACATGTAACAAATAAATATATAATATTATTTGATAAAACTTAAAATCAAAAACATCAAATCAACGATGGTGGGGTGTATTAATGATCAAATAAATGTTGCATACATAGTTCTTAATTTTTTAATATTTCAATGGCACTGCATTTTTTAAACCAAATTCTACATCCTCTTGTGACATGTTTAGTCTTATTTTTGAATAAATTTGCTGATGATTCCCACTAGTTTCAATAAGTATCACTCTCATTGACCAGAGTGTCGTCGCTACCGAGAGGATTTCTCCATAGGATAGAGGTTCATTGCCTAGAGTGTTAGAGAAGGAAGGACAGCAATACACAGTAAAATTTAAACGAAAAGAATAATATTAATAAAGTGGCAAATGTATACCTTCGGAGGTGAGCAAACTGTTCATTCTAGATGTAGTCTAAAAGCAAAAAATTATATACATGAATATAAATAAAAGACGATATAATAAAAAACATTACACGTAGTGTAAAAATTTATAAGTACACCACATACACCTTAGTAGTATTACATGCATTACAATGGCATGTTGCTTACCAGTTTCAATGTTGTTTCCTCCTGTTCAGTTGATTTAAACTCAGCTATAAGAGCTTGTAGAAAGAACCTCTGATTAAATGAGGAATACCTAGAGTGAAACAACAACAACATCAAATACAAATAACTATTGGTCTCACTTCACTGCCATTATTAGCGGTGAGGAGAATAGCTCTTGTATGGCACTACTAACTTCCATCATGCCAACAAGACTCTTTCCTTCTTCCTCTGCTATCTCTGTTGCTCTCCGACAGATATCAAGGGCCCTGCGCACGTCTCCAGTAACTGAAGCAACTTTTCTTGCAACCAGTTGGACAGCATCAGGTTCAAAGACTTTAAGACCGACCATCCTGTTAGTGACAATCTGCTGCAGGTCATTGAAAGTGTATGGATAGAATGTTAGTCTTGTGAAACCCTAAGAATCAATGTGTTGTGAGTGTAAATGAGTGAAAGAATAAATGAAGGAAAGGATGGAAATGACTATAGCACATCAAGTAATTTTAGGGGGAATTTTTGCAAATTGGCAGCCACGTGCCTTTCAGTACAGTGGGTTTTATTTTGCTGAACGGCAATTACACGTAAATCTACATGTAAAATTTGCCCCTCCAAAATTAAAAAGGAAATTAATAAAACTGCAGTGCACATAGTAGCTGTACTTGTACATGTACGTGTATAAATGAAATAACTCACCAGTCTACTTGAGATTCTACTGGACATGACTCTTTCTGGGAGATCCATAGTATTGGAAATTGCCACTACTATTAGTTTAGATTTGGGACGACTAGTCCACTCAAATAAGTTATATATAACAGACTGATTCTTATTACACAACATGTCCAGCTAGATTGAATAAAATGAATGTACTTAATATACATGTAACACATGTAATTCAATTACTCTTACTTCATCAGCTAGTAGTACAATTGGCGACCTTTGCTTGTTTGTTGTATTGAAATATTCAACAAGAGAATCAGCAGCCTTACTAGCTGAAGCCTTCTCACCCGTTAGTTGCTATGAAAATTAGAAAACAGTTTTTACAAAATGCCTCATTTCAATCAGAATCAATTCTACAGAACATGTATATACATCAGAAAAAGAAACTATTAAGCAGAGAATTCTCTCATAGCCATTTTTGGAAATTATTTGCCAAAATTTAGTCATTTTTGGAAAAAAACTGCCATGTTACTAGACTTTGGCCCAATTTTTGAGCAGCTTTAAAAAATCAAGTTTGATTGGAACCAGCTCAAACTTTCTATGCAACGTAAGTACATGTAAATGTACATGTATCAGAATAAATTATATAAATGGAGAATACTCTCCTTTTCAATTTTGGCAAAAGTTGACCCAAGACCATGAGCTACAAGAACATAAAAATTAAAAAAATTAAAAGAAACCAGATTAAGTAGAATTCCAGACCAAATTTGTAAAAAAAGTAATATAAACAAGGACAAGTACTATTTCAAACGATCAATGACCTGCACATAGACTATTGGAGTAGAATGGTGTAAAAATTAGCCTTTTAATACCAGCCAAGATTGAGATACAAACGAACAACTGGATTGTGAGAAGATGACTAAGATGAAAAAAAGTGGCTGAACAAAACGTTTGCCGATTTTATACTTTCTCTTAGACAAGGTTTAGAGCTACTCTAGTGGTACCAATGAAGTCCTCTGGTCAAGATAAGGTCCTCTAAGAAGTCTGGTAATCATAGGAGCTCACTTTCCCGGTATAACAAAGCTGCAAAAGTCATGGCAGCCATATTGTTTTGGGGTGAATCCTACTTAGTAACGCTACCACGTTACTAATAATATAGGGGCTTTGGCAAGATTTTGAGTAACTTCAAAAATTCATAAAATACCTTTAAAATCGATACATAGGCTTCTTTAGGCTCAGTCAATTTGAGTCCGTTGACCTCGATGAACTTAAAATGAGGCAATGTCCTATCCTTGGATGACTTCTTAATCAAATGCTGTGATACCTCATAGACAGTAGCTGTCTTTCCAGTGCCAGGCACTCCAGATATATAGATACACCTATTGCAATAATAATGTAACGTAGAACAATGTAACCTCTATAATAAGGATACTGACACCTTTATAATGAGGACATGTTGTAATGTCCCAATTTGGTACAAAAGTAATATAAATAAGAACACCTCTGTATTAACTATAAAGGACGGTAGAGTGGCCCTTAATAAAGAGGCTATACTGCATTAATAATAATAATAATAATAATAATAATAATAATAATAATAATAATAATGTGTGAATGAGGTGCAGCTGGTTATATAATTTACCCTCCGTTTCTCTGAATCAACTTGCTCTCAATAAAAGTACATATATTTGCGAACTCTTTCTCTCGACATGTGATGTTGTCAGGAACTGAGGAAGCGTGCAATCTAGTGCGGAGTATACATGTAAAATACATGTACAAATGCACACATACATGTACCTGACTTGAGCTACATGTATTTCCAATGGTTTTCTTCTTCCCCTGACCGTAGCCAAAGCCGGTCTGAGCGGAATGACAACCCCACCCTTCCTTCTAAATGAAGTAACGACTGATAGTAAATAGTAATTGTAAAGTAATAGAAGTAATAGTAATGAAGGCTTATGAAGCTAGGGTTTCTCGTGCAATAGTAATACTGTATACCGGTTTATTTTCGTGGTGAAAAATTTTCAAGAATCTTGTATTTCTAAGATTTCATGGAATTAATTTTTGCAAATCACATGCAGACTGCACCACATGGCAATGGAGAGCAGAATTTTGCAGTGAAAAATTTTCGCGAATGATCAGACCCGCAAAATTTGCAAAAATATTTTACTACGAAAATAAACTGGTATACGGTATATACATTTAGCTGAAATTTTAAAGTACTGTAATAGTAGTAGTAGTAATAGGAAAAATGGCAATTATAATTATAATTACGAGGTTGATTCAGGAGAATCAGGACGGCCACGCTTTCTTGATAAGGGCCCCTTCTCCTTTTTATAAACCCCTGGCTCCTCCAATGCTATATCGATATCGTCACTCTTTTTGGCTGATCTGAGACTTCGTCTTCTAATTCTGAGACTGCTATCCATGATTGATGATAATTATACTACCGGATTGAAAAGTGATCACGTGCACCCACGTGACTACTGACTATCGTGGCAATAGAAGAGTCGATTTGAGCATGAATAACCGTCACTGTATTTGATTGTCTATGTATTTGAAAGCTACAAAAGTTTTATTTCTCTTATTGTAAGAAAGTGTGTGGTTTTTGCTCGTGACTTCATTAGAGAATGTCTAAACTTGAGTTATCTGAGGTAATTTTAGTATATAATTGTTGTAATAATAATAATATGTTTCATGTATATACATGTATTTTGAAGGAAAATGTGAGGGATTTGTACGTTCATGCCAATTGTTTGACATTTATATACATGTATTATTATCAATTTGACAAGTCAGTTAGACAGGTGGGGTTTGGGGCACTGCATGAGACAGTCTGCAGTTCTGTTGGCATTACTCATAGTGATAGCTAGCAGTAATAACCAGTTGACACTAAGTATATTCATAAAATTTTAAGTATATTCATTGTGATACATACCGTAAATAAAGTAAAATTTTCCTGCCGCCATTTTGGAGTCCTAGTTTCAATGGTTTTCTATGGAGCAATCGTGGAGAGAGCTTATTCTCCAAAAACTGCTGTATTTATTAGTTACAGCAATCTTGCTACTGCTTACTGACCATCATCCAGTGTCCAGAGTTGGCTCATGGACTTTAATAAGTGCCACTAGTACCTATGGAAGCAAAGATATTGCTTTCTCCCATTCTACTCGTAGTAAACTAAGACTCCAAAATCGCTGTAGGAAAATTTTACTTTATTTATGGTATCACTTAAAATTCTATGAATATACTTAGCACCAACTGGTCTATAACCTTGCAGTCTTTAATCAGCGATAGTCTCATTATACTGATCCATTATCCATAACCTTCTGATTAAGTATTTGATCTATTGTTATCATTGTTACTATTTTTATTATGATTAGACTATTCTGGTTAAGTATTTAGATCTGTGTTTTACATCCATCTAGCTTTTATGATCATATTTAGTGCATTCTCTCTTTCTTTCACTTTGACTCTCTTTTGTCTATCCTTTTTCTTGCTTGATAATTTTTTCTGTGATATCGTGTTGGCTAAGCTCTTGCACATTATAGACTACAGTAACATAGCTAGTATGTACAACAATGTATGATTTATCAAAAATTTATAGTTAAGATACATTGATGGTTGACCTACAAAAATTAAAGAAATTATTTTAGCACACTTAAAAAGTGTGATGAAAGATGTACTACAGTATGGAAATTCTAATAATAAAGTAAATTTATCCTCTGCTATTGCCATTGCAAATTTACACACCCCACTTCACTAGCGCTATTTTGATTATTTTGAAAAGGATGAAGTGGTAGCTATAGCTATCTTTATTTTAACTTGATTTTGTCTTTTTAAAATGTCATATTCACATGCAAACAGTACTACATGTATGATTGAACAAAATGCAGAGACAAATTTATTTACTAATAGGCAACATTAAAAAAGAATTGAACTCGGTCTACAAATTTGATACAGAGTACTAACTTTAATACTTAGCTGTATCTACAGATGCTAAGATTAAACATATAATTATTTTAGAAACAACTGCACAAGTTAGGAAAGGATAACTTAATAGTCAAAATAATAATGATACATAATGCACCATTTACTTTATACCAAAAAATGCTAATTTTTACATGAGGAAATAATTTTTATATTTAATTTTAGTAAAAAATAAAAACCAATGTTGTGGTTAAATTTTTTGGGCATGATGTTAGCTACATAGACATTAGACATTTGAGTTGTATGATGTCTCCAATACAATTTTTACAGTTATAATCAATGATTTGTGTAGATCTACATGAAGCTGCTACACTTGTGTTGATTAATTAATGCTAGCATTGTAAGTAAAATTAACTGTAATTTGAATTTGATTTATTTTAGTTTAATTATTTTTAAAGCTTTTGTTTAAGTTGTTCTCGTGAAGAATAATATTTTAATACACAATGAAAATGACAAAAAATTTATATCTTAGACTAGTTATACTATAAGTATTTGATTATAATCATAACAACTACACACCACATATTCCACTCTGCTCCTGCTTTTATTTTTGAATTATGTGGTTCTTGTGTGAGCTGGTCTTTAACATGGAGTTACAGATGGCATGTGATGTTTCAAGCAATTTGGAAAGCCTTAATTGACCATTACTCATTTGTGATCTTGAAATTTTTGGCATATGCAGCATTTGGCTAATTTATTTATTTATTTTTTACTCTATTACTGTACATGTACATGATCTATTTTTAAACAACTTAACTTTCTTTAGCTTTTATCCTTTGGTTGATGATCCATATATGCAGGTAAATCTTTATATTATAGAGCCATTTATGTGATAGGGTATGCCAGGTACCTGATTAACTGCATAATTTTTTCTGCAGAGGAAAATTGCTTGTGCTAATGTATTGAGTGACCTTTATGCTGTGGGAGTTGAATATTGTGACAATATGCTAATGCTGTTAGGTGTTACTAGTCAACTATCAAAAAAGGAGAAAGATGTTGTGATTTCATATGTGTACTTGTAGATTTATGCATTGAAGCAGGCACAAGTTGTAATGGAGGTCAGACAGTTATTAATCCATGGTTTATTATTGGTGGGGTAGCATCTGCCATTACCATGAGAGAAAAGTTTATAATGTAAGTGTTGACCTTGTCCAATTGTGTAAATGATATTTCCATTTTAGGCCTGATCAAGCAGTTGCTGCTGGTGATGTGCTTGTTCTGACTAAACCATTAGGAACTTAGATTGCCGCTGTAAATGCTCATCAGTGGATAGAAACAGTATGTGATATACTTTATTGTATCATGGGAAGCCATAAGATGAAAGGCACCGCGTTGGGTTTATATCTGGTAGACGATCACTTCCGGTGCAATATACATATTTACCAGGATGTGACATAGCTATGATTAAAGGCACCAACAGTGCAATATATATATTTCACCGGAAGTAATGCTTGGCTTGTTCAGTTGTGATAACAATGATAACAAAAGGTCATTTGTAAAACAGCAAAATATGTTATTAATAAAAGATTTTGTAAATAAACTGATATAATAGTAGTCTTTATTTCTGCAAAGATTGATTGAATTGCATGCCCATTATATTCCAGAATGATTTCAGTCTTTGCGACGACCTTTTATCAACAAGTGTAGCTCCTACAAGTCAATTTGAGATGAATTCTGTACCTCTAGAAACATCTAAAGAGTATTCTTTACTGCTAGTAACATTTTTACCACCACACCGCCATTGAGTAAGTACCTTCATATCTTTATTAGTGTCCAAGGGTTCAAAACCTGTACTAATTTCTTCCATTTCATCAGCACTAATGAAGGCTAACCTTTATTGAGCGCTTTACACATTTTCATTCGCTTCTTTTGCTGCTTTTTCTTGTGGTTCTCCTTCTCCTTCAGCCATATTGGTCCCTTACAGTTGTACCACGTGCTACTGAGCATGCGCATAACCTTTCCTTCTTATGGCTTCCCATTATACAAGCCATATAGAACATGACCTTTTCCTCGTCGGTGTATCAGATATACACTCAAATGATATTCATAATCCCTCGGGCTACACCCTCGGGATTATGAATATCATTTTTGTGTATATCTGATACACCACTCAGGGTCATGTTCTATATATTACTAATTTGTGTGCTCGTGTACATGTATTATAGCAACAATGGGAAGAATTCGAAAGCCTTGTTACCAAAGAACAAAGTAATGCATAGGAATACACTACTTGTATGCATAATTTATTTTAATTTTAGTTAAATCAGCTTACCTTGCTGCTATATACTCAATGGCTAGATTAAATAAAACTGGAGCAAAATTGATGCACAGGTATGGTAAGTTTTGATAGCCATGTATTTTCAAAAGTAATATTTGCAATTTTGGCACATTTTTGTATGTTGCAAATTAATTTTGCATTGTTCCTTGTATGTTGTTGATTTTGTTCCATGTTTCATTACTTCATTAGGCATAAACTGATGTGTAGTATAATATACTTTCACTCGTACATGTCTATAAATATTGAATTTGATAGTGATTATGTGCACACTAAGATAGCTCCTATGTACTGTAACATTTGAATTGAATAATGACTTTTACTTTTTGTAACAGGAGCTCATGGTGCTACTGATGTACTGATGTCAATTTCATTTGTTATTCATTCTCTTCCAAGTAAGTTAAATGCCATTAGTACTGGAGCATAATTAGGGCATTAATTGACACTCGCAATTAAACAAAATGCAACCACCAACAAAAATACATGTACATGTAATATGCATCTATTAGGCTTGAGCTTTCTACTAATGCTATAGTTATATGTTTTCTACTCAACATAAAAGCATGTACATGTATGTGCATATTTATCAGAAATAAATTTATAAAATTGAATAATCTTTTCTAGTAATTTTTATGCCCTCTACTATATTTTTGAGCAATTTTTAAAACTCACTGACAAGAATCACTATGCTAGAATTCTGTGAGAAGCCCTGATGTAATAGTTCAATCATTAATCTTGAGTAGCCTATACTGATTCATCCACATCTTTGTTTATGAACCTGGTTGCATTTACAAGCACATGTACATGTATGTTGTTGATTTGTATATTTACTTTAGTATTGGATCATATGGATGTGGTTGCCTTGAAAGCTGCAGATAATGGTCTGAACTTCAAACTAAGAGAAGGATTCTCAGCAGAAACTTCAGGTAAAGCTCTAGAATGTAGATAAATATTGCTGCTAATTACTCAATAGGTGGTCTAGTTGTTATACTTTCAAAAGATCAAGTTAAATTGTTTTGTAAAGAAATTGAAGTAAACCAAATCTTTTATTTATTGTTTCAAACCATAAATTTATCATTAGGAAATTGATAAAGTCCAAGCATGGATCATTGGAGATGTTATACCTGGCAGTAGAGAAGCCTCCATTTCACCAGATATGAAAGTTATTAATGTACTGCACAATAACACTCTCTAAAGATTGTAATGAAGCTATTCAAATTATTACATGCATGTCTCTTGTACATGTGCTTTGATGTGAAGTTTTGTGGCTAAATCAATCACACTGGTGCTGCAAAACAGATGTTTCAGCAAAGCTACATGTATAAGACTAAATATTTTATTGAATCTTGTTGTTAACTATCATGCTTATCAGTTTTGTTTTTAATACAATAATATTCTCAAATTATGTGCTGTGCATTGAGCATAATTATGCTTACAAGTATCTACACTGACTCATCAATTAAATCTAAATTTAGACCATAGAGAAGATTTTACCTGTAGATCAACCCAAGCCTAGATCTAGTCAGAATTTGATACATTGATCACTAAAATAAACCTACCATTTTGCACTATTATACAGATGCTCAATAACACATGGAGCTCAAAATTTGGGCCAAGACTATGTACTATTTGAAGTAGAGTACTTCGTGCCTACATGTACAATGCTCTTACTTAATTTTCAGCTGTTTCCAATCAAAACCACATTTGTCAGAAATGGCTAAAAGAGAAATCCTTTTTTTATTACTTAAATGTGATTTCTTTATCCTCCCTCTCTGTACATGCATATGTACACATGCATCTCTCTCTTATCAAAAATGTAATAAAAATTTGAGGCCATTTTTGGGAAAAGATTGGATAGTACAAGGAAAATTAATTTTGAGAAATTTGCTGCTTTTTAAGGCTGTGACCAAAAATTTGAGCTTGGAATCAGCTGATGATGCTGGTGGCTTGGAAACAGTTATGATACTAGCAAGAACAGTAATAGTGATGCTGTGGGTTGATGTGGGGTTAGTTAATTGAGCAAGGGAACTATAATAATCATTTAGTTCTATATAAAATGATGCTACTACATGTACATGTTTGTACTTTGTGAAAAGGCACAATAAATTATATTCACAAGACATGAAGCTGTAAAATTAAATAGACTATTTATTGTCCAGTTGAAGTATCAGTCTAATTATAGTGACTAGGCTAGCTGGACTACTTACTCCACATGATTGACAAGACTGCCAGCTGATAACTGTACTAAATGTGGCTTGACGGAGCCATGAGGCAAATGTTTGATACACTGAGCTTCTGGTCAACAAGAACACAAAAAGTACTTATTATTATTATTTGTTATTATTATTATTATTATTGTATATTATTATTTTCTAAAATTCTTTGTTATTTCTATTATGGTTCAGACTACCTAGGCGCTGCCCACAGCACAGCTGGTAAAACATTCACACTGTTACACTGTCCAGTTGAGTGGATCAATGAACCAAATATTAAACCATTAGTAGTCAAAACCATCGACGACCTGGTATCAGCTCAACTACCTAACTACCAGGAGGTGCTGGAGTCGCCTCTGTCGGTGGAGCAGTAACTACTTCCTGCTCAATCCCTACTTCAGT